ACTTGAATGTATCATAAAATAGGATCGATATAGCGCCAATCATATTTGTTATAGAGAAAGGAATATTTTAATGTTAAATGAAAATTCCTAAAATCTAGAATAAAATAATAGTCTTTTGTCGAATATCGTGGTGCCAACTTCGTGCGTTGTAAGACGGAGGGAAAGTTTATTCTAAACGCAAGAATATATAAACTTCTTTAATTCGATAGAGGAGAATAAGAATGATTGATTTTATTTTGAGATTGTCTTATTTTTACACTAAATGAGGTTGTGAGAAATATACATGCGTCAAGAATATGTTTTGTCTCGGTAACAGACATCCTTTCTGAGGGTGTGTATTCAAGAGGAAATTTTATACAATGAGCAGGAACGGTGATTGTCGGTTGGCCGGCGCGTATCTAGCGAGCGAATGAATTGTCCGCGTGAGCAACGTAGATGAAGACTTGACACTAGTCTAGATTAGGCTTATGTAGCAAGTATGTTTCGCCGGATCCAGGAAACATGTCGAGAACGGTTAATGGCTCTCGACCGTTTTCGCCCAAGTATCTGTAAATTCTATAAGTTACATATTGCGGGAGAAGTTGGTTGTAATCCACCAACTTGGAAACTCGAGTGTCTTTGTATAGCCAAGCCGGGAGCCTCGCCGAGCGGAGCACGCTGCATCAAAGTAGTATGAAATAACTTTCGCGAGTCCGTGAAGTTCTCGTTTCCCATCCGGTCGAAAATTATTTCCAAGAGCTCGAGTCTCTTAAAGCAACGTCCCATCGGCTAATCATGACGTTTGCATTTTCACGTTGAAGGACAATTCTTCAATTACGGCCATTGACTCGTGCACACAGTGTCCCTTCGGCCCTCCCCGCTTCCTCCTCTCCGTGCAAAATGCGAGAAAAGCGCATCGATACACGTTCGGAAATGACGAGGAGGCTAAAGCTAGTGCAAGCATCGCGCTTACAACAAAAATGGAATTTATTTTCAACCGATTCGACAAGAACGTCGCGTTGAAAAGTAGCGAAAGGAAAAATTATATTAACCCAAACGGTCCATATTCGACCGATCAAAAATATACAACGCAGCCGGTAAATCGAATCACGAATGTACCGCGGCGGCATCAGCGGCGATTAAATAGAAGGGAAAATCGTCCCCGTTATTCTCGGTCTGGCGCAACGCTCAGCCATGATTCCGGCATTGGGAATCGCGTCCCGTAACAACCGATTCCCCCGGCGACGTAGCGAGAAAGCAAGCGGGGAACTAACACCGCGGGGCGGAGGGGGCCGAGGGCCGGGAGCAGTTGGTAACTCCTTGGAACTCGTTGAAACTGGTAACATCTTTGCTACTTCTCGAGTGACAACGGCGAAACGGGTCGGAAAGGCATAAAGCGACGTTCCCCGTCGCAAAGACGCGCCCACCCGGCACACGTCTTCGGCAAGTCTGACGCTTTGATCTTTTACCTATAGCCGCGACCCGACGACGCCGTCGGGCACCGGGGGATGCCCCGTCCGCCGAACGGACGGACGTTCGAACGTCCCCTCCCGCCGCTCTCTCGACGTCTTTGACTTCGTTGACCAGCAGGCGGCACGTCCGGGGGGAGGGAAGATGACGCGCGTATAAAGGAATTGTACTTGTTCGCTCGTGAAAATGAAACTTCGCCGACGGGCGCGCTCGCGCGTCGCCCGCGCGTTGCCATAATTGTTTGTCGTTGCGAACTTGGTCGAGGGGTGAATTAAATCGCGCGGCGAGCGCGTCGAACGAGAATTTCGTCCTCCCCCTCCCCCTCCCCCTCCCCGCGAGCCTTTGTCACGCGGCCGCACGATGTCGACTAATGTACACGTAATAATATCGACGTCGGGACGCCCCGTTAATCCATCGGCGGCAATAATTTTTGGCCCTAATTGCTCGATCATCTTCGATGAACTCGAAATTTGATATTTATGGGCGCGGATAATATTGGCAGCGAGCCGGGCGCCAAGTTCCCATTATTCGTTCATAAGGGGATAATTCGGATAAACATACGCGCGCGGGCGGCCGATGCGTCAACGTTACAAGCGCTTTAGTGTCGCGCGGCGATAATTATCGCGCGTTTCTCCGGCCGCTCATTTAATATTTCAGACGTGGCGTAAACAAAAGTGTATCGGATTTCCACGGATGCGCGCCGGGCCGGCGGTTCGCCATCACATTGGACCCGGATGCGAGGTGAAGCGGCCGGCATTGAGATCGCGCGCCGCCCCGTCGCGCGTTGATAATCCCAATAAAACATACGACACGTACGGATGCGCGCGAATCGACGCGCGACGCATTTTACGCGCATTATGCCCCCATTATTAAAACATATTGCCGGCGCGTTCCGCCGCGCGGCCAAACCTTCCCCCGAAGCGCGAGCGTAACGCCGATAGGGTTGATAGATCACGCATTTCCCTGACGCCCCGTCGATGAGCCGAGCACGGGGGAGGCGCGCGGCTATTTCATTTTCCATCTCAGTGGATTTGCCGGGGCTAATCGATAATCGCGCCACAGACACGCCCGACGCTCGCTGCGATAACGGCCAAGCGAACGGCGAGCCAACCTCGCCGGCGTCGCGGGCCCGCGCCGCGACGTTATCTGCGGTCGACAACTCGGCCGTCCACGACGTGTATAATTTTCTTCTCGAGCGCGACGCGCGAGAGTTGGACGGGAACGAGAAACTCCGCGCGTGAAAATGCGAAATGTGCCGGGAGGCGGCGGTGAGAATTGGGAGTCTCGTGCAGTTAGAAGTCCCTGCGGTAGAAATACGACGGTTTTTTTTCCCCTAGGCGTTTTCTCGATAGCGAACGCAATCGAGCCGACCTGCGGAGGAAGTCGCGGCTCGCGTCTTTGAACGCGATAAGATTCTCGCGGCGTATTGACTCGGCCTGATTCCGAATCGACCGCGCGCGCTATCGACCGCGGAAGTCGCGCCAGGTACCGTCGGCCGGTCACATCCGGTTGCCGGGAATACAGTTGATCGCGCCTCGCGTCCCGTGTCACGTCCGATCGAATCCACTCCGGTTTCTTTCGTGTCGGTCAATAGAGCGCCGTGTCCGCCGCAAATTGCCGCCGGAACTAAACCGAGGCAATTAGCGGCGTCTGCGCGCGCGTCATTGAATTAGCGCACGCCGCGGCGACACACACCGTCCCCGATCTTCCCATTCATCCCCCGCGAGCAGCTCGTGTTTGCCGGGACCAATTAAAATTGTATCGCGTACGCGTACGCGGGAATTCGTTCTCGGGAATGAGGTCGGCGGCGGACACCGGCGTCCCCCGGTCCGGACGATAACGAAAGAAATTTATTGAGACGAACGGCGCGGCGCAAACAAAACCGTGAGAATTGCGGGAACACGTCGTTAATACGGCGCGTCGTAAAACCACCCCCCGTCGACGTTGCACCGAAATCACCACTTCCGCGCACGGGGAATTAAGGAACCCGCCTAACGGTCAACGGTAACGCCCGACATAATTGCCGATCAACGTAACGACTCGCTGTGTGCCCGAGAACGATCCTCGATTGCAGAAGTTGATCGCCGACTGCCCGTAGAGATATATTTCGCCGGGGGAGATTTATTCTCGCGCGAAACGTAGAGGAAAGTCCCCTATTACGAAATAGCGGGGTTTCTGTTAAATTAGCAAGCGTCACCTATTGGTTCCACCGTGAATATATTGCTCGTGAAGCGAAAACTGTTTAGCGGAAAATTTATTGCTAGATCATGTGATTGTCGCAAAAAAGATTTATGATTAATTTGCTTCTTCTTCCTCGTGTATTAGGCTTAAAGCCCGTTTTATCCAGTTCGTTCTGGTACATTGAGCATTTAGTTTCACTTCATCTTCGGTAAGCTGCTAACCTTGCCGAAGGAAACCTCCAATCCGAAGAGCTACACCCCTGACAGGGTGTGTGTGGCAGGATACTCTCGGAGGTTGCCACTTTTCTTCAGGAGATTCCGTGGATTTCAACTCGGATCCTTTCATTTATTTGTTTACTAAGCAGCGTAGATTTCTCTGCGCCATACGCCATTTCTCTCGCCACGTGATTGAATTTGGACGTTGAACACTTGCTATCTCGCGTCAGAAGCCTATTTCATAATAGGAGACTTTCCTTTACGCATCGCCTGGACTTTTTGCCAGCAGAAAAGGGGCGCGAGTCGAAAAAAACGTGCCTTCGCATTCCTATAATTGAACGACTCAAGAACGCATACACTTTTGTTGAGAAAAGCGCCGTAAGAGCAGTTACAAAAGTTTCGCGCGAAAAAGGACCAGTGCGAAGATTGTGTTTCGTTTAAAAATAGCGATGGTAAAGAGAGGGAAAGAACGTTTAAAAGAAAAACACGAATCTCACATTATGGAGAAAGATCTATCGGGGCAAGGAGAGGAAAAGGATGAAAACAATTTAGCCCGACCATTGTGCCGGCGTGGCCGTAACTGTGCGCGATTTGCAAGCAGATTGAAAGTTTAAAATCGTTCTCCTGTAAAATTGCCATTTTTGACTTGTGTCACTTTTCTCGTGCAGAGGCGATATATCCCGTATACTAGGCTCGAAACAAATGACCCGATCTATGAATCATTTTATGAGACAAGGATGAAAGTTATATGGGCGAAATGTGTCGGAATACATCGCATATACGTACACACGCATGATGCATGAAATTTTAACTCCTTCCGAAGCAAAATATTTGACCAATCGCTCTACCTTTGAATAAAATATTTGGGCAAAATTCGAACGAAAGACCGTGTCTTTCGACATGTTTCCCGCCGCTTCATTTACATATGCGTTGCGCCAGTACAGCGCGTTCCATTTAGAATGGGCGTCTTTCCTGTTTTTATTAACCGATCGATCGGCCTTACCGGGAACTTTCGATCGTAACGGATAATGTCAACGTTGGAGTTTCGCGGTTTTGTTTGGCGGTACGCTATTGCTATGGCAACTTTGCGAATCGCTCGTGCGCGCGCATTTTCTTGTACTTTTGCACACGTAGTTCTTTACAATTAACTGCCTACCTGCCATTGACAGAGCCGATGAGTGACATATTCCCGGTATGTACCGACCCAATGAACGATAAGCCAATTAATTAAGCTGATGTCTCACGGTCGCGAGTACCATCGATTCGTATCAATCGGTCGAGTTTGAGCGGGGTCACAGGTAAGGACCACATTTGAAAGCCATTTAAACGATGCATTAATTAGCGGAATTACTGCATTAACGGTAATTGGAACGGAGCGATTGCCGCGCTCTCGCGAGACGTAACTATTCATGTTATTTACGTACCGCAAATACTTCCTTGCACTATTAACGCTTAATTTAATGCCCCAAAATGAGTAAAGAACGTTTATAATAAACTTAGTCTTTTACGACAGAAAATTTAATTTTCCGCACATTGTTTAACCACCGTCATCTTATTTTACGCTCGGCTTCGTTATTATTTCAACACTTCAGCAAACTCATTTTCGCGGCTTCGACTTGGCGAAATATGGACTTATCTCTTCCAATGAAAAGTTGCGCTTTAAGACCCGAAAAATTATCGGACTGCTGAGTTGGAAAAAGTGTACACGCAAAATTCACGCAAGCACATATTATTAGACTATTTTTATTATTATTAGACTATTATTAGACTAAAATCCAGCTCAATCAAACATGACACTTTTCTCTGCTTAAGCTGACAGCACACGATACTATTTTTCTTACTGGATTGCTTACGAGAGCCAATCAGGGTTTAGTCTGAAGTCACCTGATCTAAAACTCTGTATCCTTTTTGATTCTCGTAAGCAATCCGGTAGGAAAAATAGTATCGCGTACCGTTGGCTTTGAGTCTTAATTACCTCTTCCTTTACTTTGTATTTTTGTCTGTAATAAATTGCATTTACTCGTGTCGAAAATTACGCGCACGTGTCTCGTGCAAAAATGATCGGGAAAGTTGCCTATAAAAATATCTCGCCCTGCTGCAAAACTAGGCGCGATGGAGATTCGCAGCGGCGGTGCACATAGATGTAGATTTACGGTCTACAAATTTGAAAAGTTTTTCTTTAGTTGAAGTTGCAGTATAAAAATCTGAAACGGGAGAGGAAGAAACGTGAGGGGAGAGAGACCCGAAAAAATAGCGAAAACAACAGGAGAAGTAGCGAGGAAGCAGCAAGATGCCGATTGATTGTTATTACTTTCCGCCAAGTCCACCCTGTCGCACTATTATACTACTCGCAAAAGCACTAGGCATTCACCTTAACTTCAAGCTCGTAAATATGGCGAGCGGGGAGCATTTGACGCCGGAATATTTAAAGGTTTTTCCAGTTTGCATTGTTCTTGTTTTCGCATAGATTTAGCCATTTTTAGCGTATAAATACAGTTCGGCATTTTGTAAACAAGCGTCGAGTAAACAGCAAAATCCCATTTGAAGGCTTCCGAGGCTATTTAGATTTTATTCCATTTTAGATTAATCCGCAACATACAGTACCGGCCATCGACGATAACGGTTTTATTTTGTGCGAAAGGTACGTGAGCGGTTCACAGTCTATAATCTTCTATAACATTCTAGTATATAATCAACCACTTGTTACAGTCGTCCTATTCTGGCGTATTTAGTCAGCAAATACGCAAGAAATGACTCCCTTTATCCGAAAGATCCGAAAGAAAGGGCGGTGGTCGATCAAATGATGTATTTCGACTGCAGTCTGTTTTCCACTTATTTCAAATGTTACGTACGTATTGGTGTTTGCTTAAAACATTTTTTTAATCACGATTTACAAATTACAATGGGGCCTGCGATTTCTAATTACCGTCGTTAATAAAATTCCCGTTCTTAATCAAATTGATTTGCCCTTGTCATTTTTCAGCCGTATCAATTATTTTCTGTCGTGCGATTAAAAAGTTCCATTACGATTAAAAACGTATCTCTTGCTTCTAGCACGCTCCGAATTCTATTGTATTGGCACAAATCTCTTTTTGTTGGTATTATTTGTTGATACACGAGATACGACGGGTAAAATTGTCATCGTTTAGATGCCAGTAATAGGAGGTCTAGCCAATTCAGTTAACGAGGCAGATCTGGCTCGAGTGGAGAAATCGTTCGAGGTGCTCAACGCTCTCCTCGACGGTAAGGAATTCGTGGCCGGTGATAACCTGACCATCGCCGATTTCACTATCAGCACGACTATCTGCACGGCACTGGTGAGTCTCTCTTTGGCGGTGTATGTCTTTATATCGGATAGTCGTACGCAAATACACCGAGGCCGATTTCTCGATTGCAGTGCTGCGACTTCGACATCGGCCGTTACGATAACGTTGCCGCGTATTACGATCGTTGCAAGGAAAACCTGGAGAGATTCGGGTTCGAGGAAGTGCACGCTATGGGTGTTAAAGCGTTTACCGAGATGTACCACGCGAACCTGCAAGAATCTAGTTAACGTGGATATGGATATTTGTGCACGCCTAAAGCGGAGGATCGATAGTAACTCGTTTACCTGAGATCGAGATTAGACATGGAATCTCATTATTATACCTTATAGAATTTAAAATTCACTTTTTACCATCGCGTTTTTCCACCGTTTCAACGGCTCTGTTATAATAAATGTACGTACATTCACAGCGTTGTTGCTACACATTTAGCTTATCTAGCAAATTCTTTATGTTTACCATAGAGCTATGCGTTATATCTTTGCGACATCTAATCTCTCTCTGCACACAGATTTAAATAAATTTACTCAAATATATATTTAAACCTAAAGATATGTATATCTTTCATGTAGATCCGTCAAGATTATGACTAGATGGTATTTTTGTAAGAATGAATAAACCGAGGCACATTTCTATGCACATTCTTTATGGCACAGCGTCGATCTTTATTTTTGTTACCTAAAAAAAAGAGCAGTGATATACAATGGTGCCAACATTAATATTAGCTAACAACATTAACATACAAATAGGAAAGAAAACTTAGGTGTTGCAGAATTGTTCACTTCAGCATTTGAAAAAGATATGTGCATCCATAGAAATTAATTATGTGATAAAAATGACATGTACTTTTTATATTCCTCAATACTTCAACTCTCGTTAACATTAGAGCCACGCTTGCTCGCGTGAATGGTAAGCTCACGGTGAAAATTATAAAGCTAACATGAATCATATTCATTCAGCGCAAACGTTGAAAGAATATAATGGCAACGTCGAGCTGCGAATTACATAAAGTCAACGACGCTGCTATACCTAGCCTTGTCATCATTACACTTCATTTTCTTAATTACGGCATAACGACCAGTCATGCGAAGCATAAAAGTTTTGAGATGCACGAAACGTGTTACTTTTCTCAAACGCGTGTTAGGAGCAGCGAGACAGATAACAATCGTCGAAACAAAAGCCTGAAGCGATCGTTATTGATTTCCAACAGAGAGAAGCCTAAGGGGTATATTTTACAAAAGTGCTCTGTTAAGCCAGCGCCACACTATGCGCGATTCGTGATTCGCAGAGATTCGTTGGACATTCGTTATTACTTACCACGCTATTCATGATTCGCAGGATATCATTTGTAATTTGTCATTTGTCGTTGCGTTCGTGTTAATTTGGACAAATTTTAACCTTTACCTGTTATTACAGGACTTGTATCATAAGTCTGCAATTAGTCCAGTTTCAATATCGGTCAGAAAACCACTGTTTTCGTCAATAAACCGCTTGGCTAGCGAATCACTGCGAATGGCGAATTGCGCAGAAATTTTTCCTCCGCGCTATTCACGAATATGCAAATCACGAATTGCGCATAGTGTAGCGCTAGCTTTACGCTGTATCTCTATATAAGCTATGCGGCACTGTAGAGCAAGAGAGAAAGAGCGATGAGCGAAAAGACGATAGAGCTAAAGAGCTACAAAGCTAATGGAGCTTGTAGAAAATCTTATAGAATATATGCAGGGTCAAAAGTGGAAAAAAATAATACTTCTATTAGAGATCACAGTTCGACTTTACCTATATTTATAGCACGTTGTGAACACTATAGCCTATAGCTATAGATAATGAAAGAGCGAGATGCATAAGAAAAAGGAATAAGTCCGTTTCCTCTTTTTCTATCGCGCGTCCAAACGGAGAAAAAATAAAGGAGAACGGATACTTACGGACGTAGCACAAAGTAATGCCAAAAAATCGTGCTTGTAGCACGGAACAAACGTGGACATTTGCGTTATTTGCTGGGAAGTGTATGTGACTACGTATAATAGATAAACACTACATTATTTTTACTATCTGTTTGAAGAAACTATCTGTTTGACTCTAATTACATAGCAACAGTATCACAATAGCGATAAAAATGCTGTTAGAAAAAATATTCGGCATTTCACCTTATTACCATATTTTATCTTATTTTCGTAACTTTATCTTATTTTCGTTACTTTATCTTATCTTCAGTAGCGACATCTTTGTCATTCGTTACTTCATTTATTTACACGTATCCTCAGGGCCGATGAAACGGTATATACATTATTGTGCCCGACAATATCTAAAAAGAGTGCTATACATTATTTGATTTCCCAGCGACCCTGGATATCGTCGTAGATTGACGTTTCGTGCGTGTATCATTTAATCGTTTATCTCCGCTGACATTGCTACTCTGGAGTGTGTTCGTGTATTGGTTGGCCTTGCTAACATTATTGCGAACAATTACGCAACCAGCATGAGCAACCAGTGTGTGACGATGACGAGGCGGGAATGCGTTTCACAGCCATAACACAGTTCTAAGGCCGCAAGAAACTATTGCCACATTTGTTGCAGCTCATGTTGACGAATGATGTCGAGGCGATTTTACCTTCCCTAGGAACTCTCTCCTAATATTTATATTTATAATTTTATAAGATTTAGAAAAATAATACATCTTAATCAGATTAATCTATAGGTTATTATAAGCGTACGGAAATATTGTTTTATGCGATATAAATATATTTAATATCACATTTTTATAATTTGTCTACAATTAAACTCATAATTATTATATTAATTTCATATTTTACATTCACGACATTATACTTTAGGTTAGGACATACATGAACGTTATGTTTTTCAATTATATATTAAGTGATACTTAATTCTGGCAAAATAAATTTTCAGAACAATGCTTCCCAACTTGCCTAGCAATATTGGCATACTTAAGAACACGCATCCACATATTTTCTGTTACGAAACTAGTTAAAATCCACTTAACTTTAACCGGTGCTTAAGAGAATGGTCTATAGAAGGTCATTCTAGGTACAGTGCACTTTTTCAGAAGAGAAAGAAATTATAGGAAAAAAGGGTAAGGTTTCTAGAAATTTTATTCTCTTATAACTGTATTTTTTCAAATAACATACCAGCGCACCTACAAAAAATGCAAACATTAAAATAATAAAATCATACATTTCTGACGCATACGTTTCAATTTTTCTCATTATGTAATTTATCAACTAAATTTAATTAATTAATGATGAGATCATCTATATTGGTGAAGGCATATAGCGAGATCTAATTTTAATATCGCAATGTGGAGAAAACTTTTAACGAATGAACCCGATCCAACCGTTTATGTGATAATCTATCGGCGTTATTAACTTAATCGCTTTATGCTAGTTAGTTTCGCGGCGAATTAATTTGCTTTGTAGGAAATTTCCAAGTATAATTGCGTTAAAACTTTAAACGTCGGCCGAACCGCAACTGGCTAATAATTCGATGGAGCTACTTACGCGATAATGCTTCTCGCGTTCTTCCGGAGTTGTTGGTCGGTCAACCACGGGCGATTAAAATCACCCATCCGGTTTTGAGCAAGTCAAGTCTCTTGGATACGCAGCTCGAAATTGTACCTACTTCGTTTCTTAATGCCACGCCACGCGTTTGCGTGGGAACAATAACGTTAACTTAGCTCTAGAAAGAAGTGTGCAACACTCATATGGTAATCGATCATACACTCGTTGTCGTAACTATAGTCGACATCAACATAATTGAAACACTTTTTTCTTTGTGTATGATTCGTAAAAGAATTATTACAGAAAAAAAGTGTTAGTGCGCAATAATGCACGTGTGCTAAAGCGTTATACATATAATTGAAAAAATAATTTAATATGTCACATACGCATACATATATATAACTCCATCCTGGAATACCGTTCTATTATTAATTATTTGCCGGGTTTCTTTAGCAAATATTAAAATAAAGAGGCCCATTTTAACGAACCGAAGTATTTTAGTATCCATTTCTCAAAGGAAATACGTAAAGTTTGTTAAAAATTAAATAAAGGAGCACCGATAAAATTATATTCTCATCTTAAGAATATTTCACTTACTTTTATAATCTTTTACTCTAAAATAAGCGCTAAAAGACTTGTCTTAATTTAAGAGAGAAATCTTCTAAACAGAATATTCTTATCGGATATTCTTAATATATAAGAATATACGCTAAATGATACATTTTCCTATAAAATGTTATCTAATATTTGCGATCATTAATCATAACAAAAACAGTCCCACAAAACATTTACTGTTTATTACAGTACAGATAAATACAGCATAGCTAAATAGATTGTTTTCGACAAGTTATGGCTGTAGCTACTTCTTTAATTATTAGTTGATGCTTGCCTTCGTTATTTTCTGTAATCAGTAATGGATGAGAGATTCTGTCAGGAAAGTTAACACGATTCATGGGCCATTCTATTTTATTTTTCAAATACTTGCTCATAAATATGTCCTTAAGTCTTCTTTTTCCAACCACTCAACCACTTCCTCATCCATTACCATATTTGAGTCAGAATACACAGCAGTTACAAGCAACACCCGAAACGTGATGAAACAGGCGTTACACGTACCGAAACGCACTGCGCGGCGGACATCGCGCTTGTGGAAAGTTCCATCACTAAAGTTGTTGCGAATTAAGAATACATTCTAAAGCCAACGGCACACGATACTATTTTTCCTACTGGATTGCGTAGGGGAACCAATAAGGCTGCAGCGTTTTAGATCAGGTGACTTAAGGCTAAATCCTGATTGGTTCTCGTAAGCATCCAGTTATGGGAAAACTAGTATCGTGTGCCGTTGGCTTTAATGTTAAGAATATAATATAAATAACAATGGCTCGAATGATAAAATCAAAGAATAATAGAAGGGGCTCAGAGCCTGAACAAGGTTGTAATGTCCGATAAAATTACTTAATTTTATTATTTTTTCGTTATACTCGTTATATAATATCAAGAATTATTTGACGCCAGCAGATAAGTAACCACGATTAATTAGTTGATCGACCATCACTGACGATGTATTTTTAACACAGAAAATTGCATATACATATACAAAGGTTGTAATGGTCGAAAAAATTACTGTATTTTAATAGCAAATGTATATATGCGATTTTCTGTGTTAAAAATACATCGTCAGTCATGGTCGATCAACTGCTTAATCGTGGTTATTTATCTGCTGGCGTCAAATAATTCTTGATATTGTATTACGAGTATAACAAAAAATAATAAATACAATTAATAATAAAATAAAGTAATTTTATCGGACATTACAACCTTGTTCAGGCTCTGAGCTCCTTCTATTATTCTTTGATATTAAGAATATATTCTTAATTTAAGAAAATATTCCAAAAAAACATATTGTTAAGAAGGAAATTCGTCTTCATTAAGTATATCTATTAAGAGGATTTGTAAAGTATATATTTCGAGAATACAAGTTTTTTGGTGAGATTTTGTTTGTGCTACAAAGTCTGACATCGTCCATTGCTTATTTCTCACACTTGGTCGATTAAAACTAGACGATTTTCGCTTAATTTCGTCTCCTTCGCTTTCAGTATTATAACTGCAATCTTCGAATACTTCGTTCCCGTTCGCGCGATGCTACGCACAACACATAGAACGCATGTTATCAGTGAGGCGAAACCTTGAAGCTCAAGGTCAAACAGACGCTCGGACCAATGCTTTCACTTGCTCTATCAAGTGGTTGTCTAACGTCGGCTTCTCCGGAAGACGAGATCCTGTATAAATAAACGACTCTGAAACTTACGTAACTCTTGGAAGAAGAAGCACTCCGTCCGCAACATTGTGTTTCGCTGTTTCGTAAACTTATTGCAGGCTTGAGAAAATTCCTGTCCAGAAAAAAGGAGGAAGAGGGAGCTACAATTATCTTCATCTTCCGAAAACTTTAAATAAACAGTTAGGTCAATGTCCGAGAGTTAAATGTTTAAAGAAGAAAGTCGCTTACTGAAACCACGTTATTTATAATGAAACAATTATTCGCGAAAAATAAGATATGTCATCCGTTAAGGAGCTAATGCTGTATTAGCGAGTAGTAGGCGTGGACGAGATTAACATCATTTTTTCCGCTGACGATACAAATCTTGCTGAATCAGTGGCCTAACAGCGGCAATGCTGAAACTTTCAAGTTACTTCATGATGTGTAAAGAAGAGCGTGATTAGCAAGTTTTCTTCCTTTTTGTACGGCGACGAATCATCGGCACGCTGGAGCTAACTAGCGCCAGTTAGCCGGTAAAAGACTAATGCATGAAAAACGCTGATATCGAATCGCAGATTAAATCACTGATTAAGTTCACGAGTGTTCGAGCTTCCTCGTCAGAACTCTCGCAAGGTTATCAGCAGTACTTTTTTTTTAATGATGCGAATGGATATTTTGCGAATGTAACATTCCGCATTCTGATACTCGAAGAATTAATTATAATAAATTCACGTAAAGTTTCGTTAACCGAACAGCAAAAATGCACAGTAAGATAAGCGTAACGATATCATAGGCGGGAGCAATTGTACGGTCAGCGAGGCCGATTCCGCGCGAAGTAGAGTATCGTTGCTCGCCACCGTTGCACGCCCGATCTCTTAATAATGCATATACCTCGCTTGCTCGAGGGAATTTTTATCGCTATTATGCAAATGGGACATTTTGCGAGCGATCGAGAAAGTCGCGGCGATTAGGATAGGAAAAGGCGGCTACGTCAGTGATGACTCGTAAATATTGAGAACCCTCGACGCACAATCGATCTCACTCTTGCGTGCGTGCAATACACAGGCTGTCCCGTGCTACGCGGTCTTTATAAATAGCTCGCACAAGCAAGCTGCTTACACAGTCTGCCATAATCTCGCTACGCCTCCAGAGAGTACGATCTGCAGGTTCGGTCCGTTGTGATTTCTCACTCCCCCCCCCCCCACCCTCCTCTATTTCTCTCCACCTGCCGCAAATAATTCGCCAAAACTGCTAAAGTGATAAGACTGCTTCAACGACTGCGAATATTTGTGATTCACGGTGCGCGAGGTCGACTTTGCGAGAAATTCGGCGAGTGCTTAAATCGTTCCTCGTTACGTGATAATTTATGAATGTGGAAAACTTGCGGAATCATTTTCCACGTCTGCCCAGTGCACAGTTGAATGTTTAAAGCCACGGCGCACCGGTTCATTTAACTTACGGCCTATCACCGACGACTCTGCTCTAGACTAATTGATAATGCAAATTTATGTGCCTTAAATTAGATCCGTTCGAGATAATATCGCCAGATTAGTGCGCCTGGGATAGTATATAGTTACTCTTTGTCGTTTCTTTCTGCTTCTCGATCGCGTACGGATAATCAGTTGGTCCTTTGAATATGGAAAGCTCTCGTTTCTCGTCGAAAATAGTTTTACTACTTTGGCCGCTCGAATACTCCCGAATGCCTGACGTGCGATCGATCACACTGGTCACTTCATTAATAGCGCGTCGCGCGTTTTCGCAGATTTCAAGATGCCCATCGATCTTTACCAAGTTGCCGGAAGTGCGCCATGTCGGGCCGTGCGCTTGGCAGCGGCGGCCATAGGGGTGGATCTAAACCTGAAGAACACTGACCTCATGGGCGGCGAGCACCTGAAACCCGAATTTGTTAAGGTTTGTAATGAGAATTGCTACAAAAATGAAGAATTTAGGGACGTAAACGTCAGAGGATTCGCAAAGTAAGGGCCTGAGCGGAATGGCTATCTTGTATTCTTAAGACACAAGACAGTTATTGTGCATTACTTTAAGACAAAGATTTAAAACATAAAAAGAGTACAAGACAGCCATTCTGCTCAGGCCCTAAATTATTCTTAAATCAAAGACACGAGAATAGAAACAGCATTCCGAAGTTTTTAGAAATAATCTATTAGCGTTATGCTATTTCTCTTTAATTAATATTTTGGGGAAAAATTCGGGAAGTTTTAGTTGCTTGAATACTTTTTTTCAAAATAGATTGCGATATTTATGTTGCGCAAACATATTTATTGACTATTTATTTACTACCGTTTTTAATATTCTTATTACAGAAAATGTTAAAAAGTACAAAAACATTTTATATAAATAACAAAATGTTTTATACAACGAAAGTTTTAAACATTCTGTTTACGTGCGTTTTATTTTTCTCCTGATACCAATTTTTTTCTATACATAAAGTTACTTTGCAATAACAGTGCCATTATTACTGCCGGAAAGACACATACAGTAATTTTTAGCTAAAACTAGAAATTCTTCACACAAAAGTGTTTTCCTTAACAACCATACTTTTTAATATTAAAAAGGCACAAATAAATTTTGTGTTTTCACTCTTCTCCTATTTTCACTTCTTCCCCGAGTTCTTATGATTAAATGCTATCGAACGAAAGTACATTCTAATTGCAAATATATTATAAAGTAATTTGAAATAATTGTCATTTGTATATTGTCTTAAATATAGATGAACCCACAACATACAGTACCTACACTGGACGACAACGGCCTATATTTGTGGGAAAGGTACGTATCTTTTAATCTTTTTATCTTAACATTTGATTAAGTGTTGCGAGTCCAATTTTTACACATATCAGATATGTATGCTGACTTTTACAAATTCTATGGTAAAATTAGTGTCGGTTATTATGATATTAATGATCTACGCGCTTGTACCGATTTGCAGCCGCGCAATTATGACCTACCTGGCTAATCAATACAGCAAGAACGACTGTCTTTACCCGAAAGATCCGAAAAAACGAGCCTTGGTTGATCAGAGAATGTACTTCGACATGGGAACTCTGTACCAATCGTTCGCCGATTATTATGTAAGTTATTCTTGGATCGTGTAATACCTCGCAAATTATACTTAATACGTAATGGTTGATGGAGTTAATGGCTGTATATATGAATGTTAATTGCAGTATACGCTGATATTTTCCGGCGTCACTCCGGAGCAAGCAAAACTCGATAAGATAAACAATGCCTTGTGCTTCTTGGATAAATTCCTAGAAGGGGAAAATTATGTGGCAGGGAAAACTCTAACTCTCGCTGATCTTACCTTGGTCGTCACCATTTCTAACTTTAAGGTAGGAAATTGGTCTCACGTAAATACACCGATTTTATATTACCAGTTCATTTAAAATTCTCAACAAAATTAGCAAAGTGTGTGCGTGAAAAAAAGAGAGAAATATTTTTAAAATCTAAAGAAGCGCTAGTTTCCTTTTAAGCAAACATTGGTATTATCATTTGCAGTTTTTGTTAATTTTAAGTAAATTTTTCTACTTTTACAGACTTTCGCAATATACTTTGTATTGTACAACGCATATTGATTACAAGTGGATAAAATCAAATATATCAAATAGTTTTGTAAATTATAACGAAAATAACCTCGAATTTACAGTTTACACGTTAACATTTTTCTTCTTGCAGCTTGTGGACCACGACTTGAGTAAATATAAGAACATTCTGAGATGGTTCCCCAAGATCCAAGCCGAGGCTCCTAAGTACGCTGAAATCGAAACCCCCAGTATGAAAGCATTCAAAGATTTCGTCGACAACCTTAGAAAAAAGAAGTGATTTTGTGGCACATATTTAATAGTTGTGTCATACACATTGGTGCTTCAATGTTCACATTACTATTTGTCTTGCAATATTTTTATATGTTATAAATTTCAATTTTGCACAAATAAATTACAGATGAAGGAAGAGAGCGCTAATTTTAAAATATATATTATAGTATGTAATTTGTATGTATATATATATATATATATATATATATATATATATATATATATATATATATTATATAGGTACAAATATATATACTTGCAATGAGAAGAATTAAATATGAAGGAGAATAGAATTGAAAATTTGATTGTGGAAAATATTAAAATATCATTCTATTGTATTATTACTAATTAATTTTAACACATAAATTAATTAATAGACTTAAAACTACGGTACGGTACGGTACGAAAACTATAAGGAGGAAATGTTTGACGAAATTAAAAATAACAATAATTTCAGCATTATTATTATGGGTTTCTTTTCTGAAATGCACAAAATATTAATACAACAGACAATAATTGTGTGTATGAAAACTCATTTTAATTGTAAACAATATTCAATTGCAGATAGCATAAAACTTGTACTTTATATGATACATATTGGAGTTTAGTTAATACTCTATTTCATCAGTCATCTCTTTACGTGTTATAATATTTGACGAAAGTTGTTATTAAAATATTACGGGATAATATATACTCCCCGCAAATTTCACGGACGTAAAGTTGGAAATTCTCACCTCTGCTGGTCACTTAACAACGGGAAAACTTTTAGCATAGTTTCCATGAACGCTTTGCCTTTGGAGAATCTTGACCTAGCTCGCAGCATGGCTTTGTCGCGAACAAAAAGTTTCCACGAGACCAGACCGAAATCTTCCTCTTTCCACTTGAAATCTTGTTAACAGGTAAATTCCATCTTATCGACCATCGCAAAGTTGTGTCATATATATGCAAAGCATTTTGTAAGTTGCGTAAAACTAATTAATATTTAATATAATTATTCAAATAAAAAGTCCTGTCCACTTATTCCATTATATACTTCATGTATACATATATAACGTGTGTATTTTCATATACATACATGTGTAAGGTATTCTAGAATTCGCGCACATAGAATGCACAATGCTTTGTACTAGAAACAACAACTTTTTCCTGTGGTAAAATTCCATCCGAACAGTAGTTTTTAAATGAGAGTAATTTAAAGCTAACGAATGAGCTCTGTGAATCAGGAGCGGTGCGCGTTGAACGTGTATACTGTTTTGCTAGTTCTCTGAAGATTTCATAACGACTACGCATGATATCTAAATGTCGCCATTTTAAATATATTAATGCGAAAAAATTTTGCTAACTAATGCCCTTAAAGCAACTTAAAATGTCACAATAATTCCTAAAATTAAAAGTGTCACGTAATATTTTTCAAGCGCAAGTATTTTTTTTAATTTATCAAAATGAAACTAACATCTTTTCTATATATTCGATTTTTATTCCCGCATCCCGCCCTTCGTAGAATTAAACCCTGGTTCAAAGATTCGATGTTAACGAGTCTTTTGAATGGCGAGCTCATTCGTTCTCATTACGCGCGTAATTTGCCACTAATTATCGTGCCTTAATTTCGATGTTCATGTGATTCTGCTCTTTAAATAGCAGATAATGATAACAATAATTACAGTATAAGAGTCTGTACTTATAATACATCCGTCATATTTAGTCGGTAATTACAGAAATACGACAGATACTACAAGAATTAGATTATGTAAAAATAGCAGTCCAATAATATTCAAACATATGCACATAAAATAGCGAGACTGTTATATCCGTTAATATCACGTAATGTTTCGAGTTACTTTTAATATTTTTTGAGTTAAGTACAATTCTTGTCTTTTTTGTCTCGTCTGAACTATATTTCACAACTATTAATAATATTTAGAGCACTTGTAAACCTTAAAAAGACACGAGTAACGCTGTATTTATCTATCTATCTCTCCCGTTATCTATTCGCGCCTGTCTCTAATAAAACTCTAATAAAGGCCAAAGCTATGGCAGTCGCATTTAAATATATGTCGGTATATCGATTCGATGAGAAGTTACAGTCCAGAACTGTTCAGTCTTCGTACGAATCTGCAACTGCACAAGTGCATTTGTTTTCGCGAAACGAGTACTTTACTTAATTTGAAATTGACAAAGAGATAATTGTGGACATACTACAAATTACGCGAGTAACATATACATCAATAAGTAACAAATTGTTTAAAGCCAAGTATGCCATTGCAACTGTATTATTTCCCTCCAAGTCCACCTTGCCGAGCTGTCATGCTCGTGGCAGAGGCAATTGGGCTCGAAGTGGAGTTGATAGTACTGAACGTAATGGCTGGTGAGAATTTGACACCGGAATACGAGGAGGTATGAAAACTTAATGTATTACGAGGTGAACTTTGTTTCTCATTTCAAACGAATTTCACGTAGTTTGTATGCGAGCTAACTAAAATACTGAAAAAGCGATACGTATCTCAATATTACAAAGAGCGTGACTATATTTTTCAGTTAAATCCGCAAAAAACAATTCCTTTCCTGATCGACGACGATCTCAAGCTATCGGAAAGGTTTGTGAAACATTGCAATCACATGTTACGTGCTCAAAACTCTTGCGATAATTATATCGTGATATGTATTTACAAAAATGGCGTCTTTCAGTCGAGCTATCATGTCTTATTTGGTCGATCAGTACGGCCCGGATGACACTCTGTATCCGCGAAATCCGCAAGCACGTGCTTTAATTAATCAACGATTATACTTCGATCTGGGCACTCTGTTCATGAGTGTATACGGTTATTACGTACGTGGACACGTCATCGTTTCTAAGCAAACCGTATTGTGGCTGCATACAATCGATCGTTGCACATTTTGTTGTAGATGACCGTGTTTAGAAAGGAAGTCGATACATATGATCCAGCGCAATATAGAAGACTAACAGACGCGTTCAAATCTTTGAATAATTTTCTTGAAGGACAAGATTACGTGACTGGAGATAATTTAACGATCGCCGATCTTGCTTTGGTCGTGTCCGTTACGCAAGCCGAGGTAATTTCGATATGGCGCAGTATAAATTATCAGTCTTTTTAGAAGATAAAATAAAACAATAAACTATTACATATATTCTCTGGTATAGCATTTTTCTCTCGTAAATATTTTCAAGAGATTACTTTTATTCCTTTGTTAATAATTTTATCTGGATTTAATTGCTTTGTTGCCAATTACCAGTTGATATGTAGACATTATTTTTGAAATCTGTAAACTTAATCGGTATATTATGTGTTATGTTATATATAGGTTTTTGGATTCGATTTAGGAGAATACGAAAACGTTTCCAACTGGTTAAAGAGAGTACAAGAATCTACACCTGGATATGAGAAGGCTAATGGTGAACCTCTCGAGATGTTGAGGCAATTTATTCAAGCTTCACAAGGCAATGAAGGAGAAGGAGAAGAAGGAGGAGGAGAAGGAGGAGAGGAAGGACAAGGAGGAGAGGAAGGAGAAGGAGGAGAGGAAGAAAATGAATAATATATTGTATTAAATTCAGTGTTTCGATTTTTAAGGTGGAACATATTAGATAATAGATGAAATATTTATATGATGCCGCAAATTAAATCTCACTCATAGAAATAATTATGTAAAAAAAATATTAACTGTTATACAAAGCTTTTGTCAAAACTCACTTTTAAAATAATTATACGTTGTGTTTTCATATATCTTTCAGAGATTTCATAATTAAAAAATTTTTGTATTTTCGACATATACTTCATAAACACGTACAAAAGTATTAAGGATATAAACAAATGAGAAAGATGCCTGTAGGCACAGCATAAAGTGAAAAATAAGTAAATTATTATACTATAACAAAAGTAAGTTTTAGTGTCATATTATTTTGAAAAAATTACGTGTAAAATTATTTATCTAATTATTATCAACTCATAAGTTGATAATAATTATCCGAGCAAACATCAAAGTAACAGTTACGTAACATCAATATAAATGTTTTATAATATAACATATGTATGTTATATTACATTTATATTGATGTTATTGTATGTAACTGTTACTTTGGTGTTTGCTGGGATGTCATTCTTGTAAGTTCTTATTAATTTCCATTTTCTTGTTATTCTCAGCTGTTGAAAACTAATGACGGAACATGCCGACTGACGGCAACTCAATTTTTACTCAAGTTTCTACATTCTAAACTTAACGTACGTGTCATTTCACTTGTATCGTACGTCGGATAATTATCTACTGTAGATTACAAAATGAGTATGGATATTTAAAACTCACTTCTATTTGCAATGTTTCGATCACTATTTTATTTAATTATAAACACATTTTCCTCGATAAGTTTTAATATAATGTTGACATAAGTTTATTCAATCCTTGAAATATCAAATCGTGTTTTAATAATAATCTTGGCTCTTTAGTTGTTTTATCTACGATGGAAACACAAATTGCAACAATTGCGATAGTCTTGAGAGAAACTATATTTTGAAAAATATATACTTTAGACATGCATTTAAAGTCGAAATACTTTTATTTTTACAAGTAATAAGTATATTATCTTCGCGAAGATGTTCAATATTATTGGACTTACCGACAGGAAAGATCCCACGGTGCAAAAGATGCCTCTGAATTGGAAATTTAATTATAGGTATATGTATGTAAATGATGTAGATATCAGGATAAATTTTTCCGACTTCGGTATTAGGAAAATCTCTTCTTTAGAATTATACTTTATGACTATACATTGTCTTCACTCATTTGTCGTAGCAATGTGAAATACGACATCGCCGTGCTTAATATCTGTATAAATAATATTATACATTATATGAATATTAATAACAATTAATAATATTAAATGGTCACGAAAAAGAAGACGATATTAAAAATTTATACGCAAATATGTACATACATACGGAATAGAAACGAGTGTGTCAACTAAATATATTATACATATAAAATAATTCCATAATATAGTATAATGATAATAACACAATTAGAAATCAAGAGCATAATTAAATTAATTCATGTTAAATATGTGCATAAACTCAAGCAAATTAAAAATTATTTTTTAGCCAAAGATAATATGATATCGAAAATTTTCTTTTGATATATGTTGCTTATAATTAATCTTTAATACGTCTTTTCTCATTACACATTTACAGACTTTTTTATTATAAGTACCCAGATATTCCGACTATCGAGCATACGTATATGTGTTTAAAATCTGCGCGTTTAAATGTTTGAGTTTAAATCTGAATCTATGTAAAATTGTCGAAAGAATAAAGATCTGACAACGTTTGGCGATCTTACGGATCTTAGCGGCTAAGAGCTAGGAAACTTTTTAATTTAAAATGTCATGTGAGTACCCGGGTATTAACGTAAAGGGATAATCTAAAAACTTTAGGTGAGGAAAGTGCCAGAAGTGCGAGGCGTATCCTTATCGGCATTATTTTACAACCGGGCAAAAGAATAAAGTACGACTCGCGACTATAGCATTGCTGCCGCAAAAAAACTAGCCCCGACAGCGGTGCTTTTTACAGCTTGCAGTAAATTAATTTCTTTTGGGGAAGTTTTAAAGAGCCGCGTCATTCGGCGCGTCGCGCTTACCCCTGTAAAAGTCTCCAAGGACATAACCGCGAAACGTCCAGCGGTTAATATGCACGGTCGACGTGCTCTGATCATCATTATAATTAGCCCTTTCCTCACCGCCCTTCCTGGACCGTTGTCGGGTAAGAGATACCACTTGGAATTGTAAGCGGCGTCGGAGATAGCCGTACTTTGCACAATTATATCGTTACACGTCCACGTATAAATAAGCAGCTGGATAAGACCGCCCACGAAATGGAAGGCAAAAATACACTTTCTGATAGCCACTTCCGCCGCCTGCGAACAAACGTGTCACAAACATTAATAAACGGTGACATATTAATTTCTTTAGCGCAGAGTGTTAAACGTTAAAAGGAAAATTTTCATTTTTCTTTTAATATTTTTAATAAATAAAAAGGCAGTGCTTACAATTATTTCAGAAACTTCTTCTAAAATTCGTAGATGCGCGGGTTTTTATGCTCATAAATTATAAACGTGGTAAATATAAATGAATGTAAGAATTAGAAGGATTAATTCGATTTAAATGCAGAATTAAACCTATCAAGTCTAATTGCATTTCTCGCCCGAGAACATTTCTCGCTGTAGTGGAAATACAATAGAATTAACTGGCGAGTAAGCACAGCATGACGTAAAATAAGGAGGAGGCGGTAAAATTCGAAAACTCACGAGGAACTGAAATCCACCGAAGCAGATGACTACGCTAGAAAGCAGCAACTGTCCGAGTAATATAATGGCGAACACGCGTTGCATGTTACGCACGTAACATATGAGCGTGAGGTGGTGCTGCACACAGTCCCGCAATTTCTTCAACGTCAGAACCGCAGCATCCGTTTCCAACGGACGTTTCTGGTCCATCATATCCTCGATGCAGCCCTCAACGACGACTTCCACTTTACGAGCCAAGATTTTTAGCTGCGCGGCCGCGTGGATGTTGAACGTGCTCACAAAATTGTCAAAGCAGAAAGTGCAGATACCCGAATGTATTGTCGAAAGCGACTGCAAAAGTTTTCTTTTAAAATTTTGCCTGAACATTATGACATCGTGGGACAACACGGCATTAATGTTCATCAACAAGTAATACAAAATTCTTATACTTTCGTATAACTAAATAATTTGTTCTAATAGAATTAAATTTTTTCTGACACCTTATTAATAAGAAAGTAAAGGAAATGTATATATTTCAAATAACTAAAACAAAAAGATTAGATTAATATTTTTATCTTAAAGACTAGCTTCTGTACAATAAAAAAGAAACAAAAGTTAAATGCCAAAGTTGGAAAAACTTATCCAAAGTAATATTTATTTATTTAATAAATATCTAATGTATCTTTTCCAAATGAAAAATGTAAAGTGTTGAGAAAAATTCGGTTAATGGTCACTTAATGTTTCATCAACAGTCAGCATCAATAAAATTTATTAATTATTGACGTAAATGACCTATAAAGCTAGTTATTAAATAAAACTCGTCATTTTTGCTATTTGCTCTATTACCTGTATAACGTAAGTGACTTCGTAATACGGCGAGTGATACGGAAAATCGAGCCACAGCTTGAATGGTAGAATCTTTTCCGTTTCGTTCTTTTCTTGAGGCTCTGTTACAAGTAGCAAAGAAATATTTGACACTCCGTAGAGCATCGCTTCACGTGATGGTTCGAGAAGCAGCATTCGCCAATTCAGCATAAGTGGAAATGAATAGAGGAAAGTCCTCTATTGTGAGATGGGTTTCTAATACGAGATAGCAGGTTTTTAACGGCCAAATTTAATCACAAATCTCGCAACAATTAAATGATTTAACAATGAATTTTCCACTAAACAGATTTCGCTCCGCGGGCGATAAATTCATGGTGGAGTCAACTGATGATGACCTATTAATTTATAATAACAGAAACCGCGCTATCCCATATTAGGATCCTATCTCATAATAGGGCACTTTGCTATACCAAAGAAAGGTGCGAAGATATAATTGAAAGTTGCGACGTAAACGATGAATGTAAAAGTGTAGACCATAGTCATTCCTAATTTGTCGTATCCTTCCAGGATTCGTGTGCCGGCCTCGTCGTAAGTGACATTCCAAAAGTTTCTCTCGGCGAAATGAATCAAGTCCATTATCATGTCACGGTAGAACATGAAGCTACCCAGCTTCACCAGTATCATCACTAATAGCAACGTTGCACACAAATTGGACGTAACAGCCTGTGAGTAATAATACCAAGAATTAAATAGATCCTGATTCCCGTGTGAACATTCTGGCTGCTGAAAATTCAAAGATAAACACTTGGTAAAAATAACATAATTTCGTTGAATTTATATTTTGTGTTACAACACGTAAGTATCTTACTACATATAAAGAGAACTTACTAATCGATTAATTGTATTAGCAAAATTGACAGTAGAATAATAATTGGAGATTTAGTAGAGAAACAGAAAAGTAAAAATCACTTTGTTCTTTTATGTAATGTTATTTGTGAATAAAAGTATTTCACACATGCTATAAATATTGCAATAAAAAGAGTTAAATCCAATTATAATGGTATTAGCTTTAGTGCAAAAAATATTCTTTAAGATAGAATAAAATTATAACAAAAGCAAGAACAAATATAATCAATTTCAATTATTTCAAGGCCCGAAAAAGGGTCTTTTCAACCTCTGTTATTTTCGATTACATCAACTGAAGTTACGTAAAATTGTCAGTTAACGTAAGGTACCCCATTTCCCACACGTACTTTCACACATACACACGTGCGCGTACCTAGACACAGTATCAGAAACTCTCCAATTATACTTTTCCAATTATAACAGTTTCAATCCACCGGAATAAAAGAAAAATAAAAATATATAAAAGCAAAACACACACACTCTCTACCGATGTATTCGAACTGCATTGCCTAGATTCTTTTTCTCAAAACTAAATTGGGAATGTTAAACGTTAATTGGTCTTATGCGTTTAACAATCCTAAAAAGAACGCACAGTAGACTTAAGGTTGCACTTTAACGTCAAAATTAAATTAATTCGAGGATGTTTTTAGTGATCTTTCAAAGGAGAACTGCCGTGATTCGCTACACTCACGTAAAAGTCGCCTATGCAGTGATACAGATCAACGCCCTCGACGAGAATGGCGAAGACGATCGCCCAAACGGCATAGCCGAATGCGCCGCGCAAGAGCAGCTGTTCCCTCGGTGTCTCGACATACCAGAGCCCGACTACTTTCATGAAGAGCCGCGTAATATTCACCGATCGGTACTCCTTACGTTGCTCCATGCCTCGTCATTTTCTTACGTGCCGCCACGTGCCTTTAAGTGCATCCGAATGGCCGGGCCATTTCGGTATAAGTGGAAGCCCATTATGCTAACAAGCAGGAAAATTGGCTCGCACTTACCTCGCTCTGGTGACAGGCTATAATCGTACGCGTCTCCTTTGCTGAGGGCGATCAATCGACGGTGTGTATGTATTGAGTTCGATCTCCGATGGACAATGCGGTGGCCCTTTCTCTTCGCCGCTACCGTCAGTAGCTCGGCTGCAATCTACCGAATCTCGTCGCAAATTGCAACGTATGAGAATGGCATTGGGGTAATAATATTTGCAGACGAGCTTCAGCTGATTAATGATCGCGTGATAACTAAAGTTTTTCGCAGCCTAGATATAGGTACAAGAGATAAAATTCTCGTGAATCCGCTTTTTTTTTCAACAATTTCACACTAAGGAAGAAACATATTTCTGCGAAGTATGTTTCCACCAAAAGAACTGTCAACTTTATTTACATTATTCCGTCAGAAAACACCGTTAAAAATCACATCGGGCAATCTTTGACATTCTATAGACTATTACAATATTACGTACATATTTTATATATAATATCTATATTTCATGTTTTGCATATACACGATCGTATATTTTCAACTGTAGAATAAGATTATACGCAATTGGAGACTTCCAGTTTGTCAAAAACTACTGTCTAAAAATCAATCAGTGAATTATCACTGAAAACGGTGATGATAGGCTGCGATGTACACTGCGATTTTCAGTGATGATCCACTGATTGACTTTTAGAGAGTAGATATTTGAATGTCCCGAAAGTTTTCAAGCTCTTTCCTCAATTTATTTCTCACGTAATTTTCTTTATTCTAGCGCTCATTCCACGAATTTGCGGAGAAGAGTGAAGTAGGATGCGGCGGTGCTCAACACCTGGAGAACAAAAATATTGTCGTGTTGCGGAAGGTTGTCTGCCTGGCTATAATCGTGTACTTTTACATCAGATTTACCGCCATAAACGTCTCGAGCGACACCGGGAAGAAACCGCCGGCGGATATGGAGCAAGCACGCGCGGATCGTGTCATCATCATCAGGATGGCTTTCCTGACTCCCTTGTTCTCCTCGTGGGATAAGAGCTGCCAATTGGCGTTGTACGCCGCGTCTCCGACCGCGCGGCTCTCGTCCATCAAATAATTCGACGTCAACGTGACCACGAACAGTTGGACGAAGCAGCCGTTTGTATGGGCGATGAATATCATCCGTCTGACCAGAGTACCGCGGGCCTTTTCCAACAAAGAGATGCAGACGCGTGGGGAAGGTCAGCGAGTAACGCAGGTAAGTTATGTTTACGCTCGTCTTTCTCTTACGTTACCTTCACTTATCTAACATCGTTAGACGGGAGTAAAGGGTCCCGATACGCACGTCTCTCCCTCCCAGCGAGAAATGACTCGTCGATCGATGTTGATTCAACATCGTTTCGACATCGATCGACGAATCATCTCTTACTGGGCTTCCGCCTCTCTCTCGGTTACGCGTAGATACTCACCAAAAACATCTGAAAGCCCGCGACGCAAAGCATGACGCCGGACACCAACAGCTGGCAAAGGGTCGTGTACGTGAAGATTCGTTCCATTTTTTCACTGTACCAAATCAGCTCGTGATGCACTATGACGCATTCTCTGATCTTCTCGTACACCCCCCGCCTCTGTTTCTCGTCGAGGGACTTTACGGTACCAGCCCGTTCGACCTTCTCAAGGATGTTTCCCAACCGGTGTCGCAGCATTTTGAACTGACCGGCAGTGTGCAGGTTCAGTAAACCCAAGAGATTGTCGAAGCAACAGAAGCATACGCCACAGTGAATAAGCGCTGTAATCTGTAAAATTACACATTCTAACAAAAAACAGGTATGCTATTTGATACGTCACACATCACAATGCTACATTGAATGCGTTCTAATCAATGACGTAGCTACTAATCCTACTAGTTCTCGTTGATTCTCCAAAAATTTAATTAACATGACATTACGTTCCTAACAAATGAATACAAGATCGAGCGTTCCTATTGTAACACAAGTGGAAGACCATGTATGTTGCATTACCTCGACAGTAAATATGATTTCGAAGTTGGGCGAGACGGTTGTCGGGATTCCTATCCAGAAATTAAAAGGGAGTATTCGGTCGGTCTCGTTTCTCCCTATATTTTCTATAAAAATGTAACGTGAAAAGGAAATGTGATATCCTTGTCTGCACAACGATATTACGAACTGTGCTTAGTACCTGAGCTAAGATTTGTACCGTTCGTATTCTATTCTCTACTAAGTGGGCGATGTAAATTTATATTCGGGATACCGATTATAGGAGTCAGCGCATAGGTGCAAACGGTTCCTTGAACGAAGAACGTAAACGTGCACATTAATATCATCGCCTTTCTATTAATCTTTTCCATAATCTCGCTGCCGAACTCGTCGTACTGAGCGTACCAAAAATTCTCCTCTGTATATTTCAGCATATTCAACACTTCTTGTCGATTAATAACGAAGAAGAATATCTTTAGCAAAATTATGACTACCGGCATAGAGCTGCAAGCAGTATATGTGATGGCCTAAAACATCAATACAGCTTCAGTAACTAAATTTATGTCAGCTACAAAAGAATGAAATTAATACATGAAAATAACATGAAATTAATATATAAAAAATTATAAATAACTTAAAAAGGTTAATTTAATTAAATTTGAAAAGTTAATAAAAGTAACTGAAGAGCTTGTTATTAAAAATCCATACATTACACCCAGAAAAAAGATTTATTTAGGTTAAACAAATGAGATACATTGAAATCCTGTTTCTTTGAATCTACTAAATTTTTATTTACTTCTACTAAAACATTTGCTAGACTTGGAGAAGTGGATATGAATTCTCTTAGAGAGTCCAATCTCGATCGAATAAAATTTAGATTAAGGTCGAAGAATCATTTATTTGAAATTTAAAAAAAGTCTAGCAAGGTCAAAATTCAAAGAAAATTGATTCGACTTTGAAGAAACTTTTTTCTGAGTGTGCAACATTTCGATTATTACAAGCGACACTATTCGATAGCCTATGTGATAATTTTGCTACGTTTATTATTGCAAATTTTGATACTTACATAAAAGTCGCCTTTACCTAGATACAATTCGGTCCCTTCTATCCACAAGCCTAAAGTAATCACGTATATTGTGTAACCCAAAATCCCATTCAACAACCGTTCCTCGGTTCTCGATTTGGCGGGCCAGATACCGATAACCTTCATGAGAAACCTCACTATCCGTATCGATATAAATTTATTCTTCCTCGCGTTCTTCATCATGCGCCGACCGCCACTTGAGCGGCTGTGCCGTATTAACGAGATTCGTGGTATCGCACGCTGCAATGATACGTAAGAGATACGTAATAACAGGCATACACCACGGCAATCCTGGCACGATCTCTGATCGAGTTAGTTCCCCTTCTATTACTTCAGCCTATTATCAAGCTAGTCGTATCGCGGAATAGGAGGGACTGCATTATTACGGGATACACACCTCCTTTCTTTCGTGGAGAGGATCATGCAACGTTAATGTACCCGCGCCGCGTCGACGAACTCCGTAAGTATCTATATTTAGATTAAAACCGTTTTACTTCCTCGTGCGCGCGAAGAGCCGACACAGGGAAATAAAAAAAAAGTACGTTACCGCACACCCTTCAATCTTTCCTACAGGTGTTACCTTCACACGAGATCCTAAAGAGAACCTTCCGAGGAAATAGAGATTAGAAATGTGGCAAGAGATCACGCGATAACAGAATATCCTTGGAGGGGCAAAAAAGTATCAGTCGACGATTGTGGTTACCAGAGATCACACACCTCGTGTGTGCTTTGTTAACTTTTGATATGACGTGTCCAGGGTTGGAAAAGTTACTTTATAAAAGTTATCTGGTTACAGTTTCTCAATAAGTAACGAATCGTTACTTTGCAGTTACTTTCTTGAAATGAAAATAAAAATATCAAATCTGCATTTGAATTGTAAAGCGCCGATAAAGTAACGAAGTTAAGGTAGAGTTACCAAGAAAAGTTACTTCTCAACCCTGGACGTGTCAATGTGTGACATAACGATTCGTGTAATGACCGTATGACAAATTTTTTCCACAAGTATGTGTGGATTTTAATAGAGATCTTAGTGCAAAAATTAAATTAAATCGAACTATTACTCTAGATTTTATATTAATGCTGCTGAGGAGAAGGTTGAGAAAAAAATGCAAGATATCTATAAATCCTTTCAAATCAGTTCCGTCTCGCTTTGCAGTCTTCATCGATTCAAGGTAGGAAATAAAGGCTCGTTAAGGAAAATCGATTTAAACATGATTTTGAACTTGAAATTCCTCATATTTCTCGATTGTGTTGCTGAAAAGGCGTATTTCTCTCCTTCTTACAATTAGTTGAGCGCATAAAAGTTCAGAATGGGAATTTGGAGAGTTGTATAAAAGTACATATACACAATGGAGATATTTTATTATATATATATAATATAATATTTAATATTTTAATGTGTTCTTTTCTGAGAAAATAAGTATACTTATACTCGCAACTCGATACATTTTAGCTACGTGGGGTGTGATTCGGCGTTACCACGGCATCCCCTATAAAATGACCGGCAAAGTTAGGAAAATTAAAATTTATTGCTAATTCGAACAGTGTACAAGAGAACCTGCGTCTCGGCTGGCAGGCATGATAACGCCAAATCGCCGGACTGTTTACATACCATCTATATATGTATATACATATACATATATTCAAACATACAACAAACGAAGACTATCTTTCGTGGTATTTACGTATTCGTCTTAATGGTAAGTTATCTTCGTTACTTTTATCAATAAGTTATGAGTCATCGACACTGGTAACATCGTTTGGTTGGTACATTACATACATTCTGATAGGATGCTAAACACTTATCGGCGTCACTTGCAATTTTCTTACCTGCTAGTATGTTTCTATTATTTCATTGTTACACAGATAACGCTGCGCTTATCCATATAACGCGTAACCGACAGTAAAATAGAATAACATAAAGGAAAAAGGATGGCATATCGTTCGATGTTGTGTAGCTTAGAAGATTTAATATTACGGCCGTCTCGTAAAGCGTGAGCTCGAAAATCGAATCGCCAGTATTTGATTTTTATTCGGTAACGCGTGCAACGAAAGTGTCAACGTGACTGTGACACTGATACGCGTGCAAGTTTTCAAAAGCGGTACTCTATTCTTTGTGTGTGGACATAATGCAATCATCAGGCCAGTACAAAAAGTTTCTCTCGCTAAATTCTATTTAAGATCAATTTGATTTCTTTAAACATCGGAAAGGAGACTTAAACCTCTCTCTCTCTCTGTGTGAAAGAAAAGTGTGAAAAACGGACGACTTTGTTAGTAAAAATCGAATCTAGTTTTTACTTTTATTCGACAAATATGACAATCTGTTCCGTCGCCTTTTGCACAAACCTATTTATGATTGTGGTGAACAGGTAAATAACATCTCTGTCGCACAAATATGTTTAGTATTTTGATACAAAGAGCAAAGAAGGTGTTTTAAATGTACAAAAAGTCGCTACAAACGGATGTGCATATCTGATATCTCGACGTGGAAATCTCGCTCGTACCAAGGCTCTGCCGACATCATTAAACATGCTTGGCCGCTTCGCACGTAACCGCTACTAATAATATACCAATGACCGTAAATACGTCCTATCAATTAAACGCTTAATTATCGTATCTCGCGTCCCGCTTAAGACACGAGATTATTACACCTAAGAATATAACAGGGAGTGTCTCGCGGACGATTATAAAAAATTGTATAACAGAATGCTTATGTCTACGAGAAACGCTAGTTCATGCTTATCGCCTTCCCTCGCATATCTCACGCGCTATCAGAAAAAATAGGCTCACGACGATGGATTAACCTTTAAGCGTCGGCTTCAGATACTCTACGCAATTTTCCCGCAGCCTCTGGGAATTAATTTTAGACGGTATCTTCAACTCATCTCGAGATATCCCGTAAACGATTCACGATATCAGTAAACATATTATACTGGCGATTTTATGATAAAGGCATCTTTTTAATGAAACGCTCTAACAAAACTATGAAGGAAAGTATCTCTTTCTGTTATTCAAAGAAATTTTTTTTAAATTATCATTAGTTTAATTCACTAAACGTACTTTTACCATTGATCAAATGCATAAAACATTTTTCGATCTTTTGTATAGTTAACGTTGATGAAACATTAATTATCGAATTATTTTGAAACTACTATTTTTCGAATGCTCGTCAATATGACTCATTCTTAAATGGATGATTCGCATTTCTGAATTAGCGCAATGATCAAACAAAATGATTGCATGCTGGGGACTAACGCCAAGTAGAAATATGCGACACACGCGATACATTGTTATGATATAAATTCGCTGTATCTTGTAACCTAGTTACGTTTGATAAAATCCCTGGCAGACAACCAGTAGTGTACTTTGTCCTGTGTAAAACGTGTTATCGGTAATGTTTCAAATTAATATTAAATCCAATCAAGGGACAGTGTTGTTAACAAGGACTTGTTCTTGTCGTTATTAAGGCGTGATCATGAATTTCTCGAACATATGTTATTACAGTACCACGTGATGAAACGTATTGTTGTCAAAATGGTTGTGGCAGGTTCTCTGGATATTTGAAATGCTTCAAGAATCATGAAAAATGTGACTCAACTATTTTAATGCCCGTATGAAAAACAGGTTTGAACTGATCGTCGTTTGTTCAATCCTTAAGACATTTAAAATTGCTCAAATTCCAGAACTTGAATTTTGCTTTCCAATTATTATTGTAACCTGATAAATAATCTTTTTTATTTTTCGTGTTCTTGGATAATCACAAACAAAAATTAATTACGTCTCCCGAAAACCACGCGAGAAGAAATTTAAAGAAAGTAAAGAAACTAAGAGACACTCATCGTTAATTGTGTTGAACTTTCTGAACTTTCTTTATTAGTTAAGAGTTAATACTTAAGGGGATTACTGTGAAGGGAATAACCGTGAATAGGATTAGTCAATTATTCTTTCATAGCGTTAGTCCGGAAACTTCCTTACTGCTTTTGATGACAAAACTTAAACGTGAATAGGGGCTGTAAATGTTCGAGTAATTCTGCTATTCGTGTAATTCGATAACACTTGAACATTTCCCGTCGATTTCCGACAAAAGACAGCTGAATATTTCAAGTATCTGAATATCGAGATGTATCATGCGTTTTATTCGAATATGTACAAATTGTGTTAAATTGGTCAAAAGTATCACAAGTCTAATAAATATGGAAATATACATACTGCAAAGTGACAGTACAAATACGACAATAATGCAATTATCTGAAAATATTCATGATATTCGAAGTACTCGAATTACTCGGCTATTTATTTCATCTCAAATAGAGTTATTCGAGTCTGAAAATCGAATTGCAGTAACATCTAAATGTTCAGATATTCAAACGTACCAAGATTCCAATTTCACTTTACATAGCGCTATTACGAAAGCTTTCTTTACATTTATTTATTACAACCTCTCCTCGCACGTATCTAATTTACAAATGCAACAAACAGTTCTCAACCCAACGATCGAAACGTTCATTGTCTCGTAATAAACAATTTAGCGTAAACAGTTACTCAATGCAGTTCTCGGGGGGAAAAAAAGTCAAACGCAGAGATACAATTCTCCCAGCGGGAGAATACACGTTTCGTTAATTGCCTTGCAATCTTGTAAACAAAAGCTTCGGAAAGTTACGAAAGTTCCGTGAAAATGTGTGCGTATAGAAGATACTCCGCGCGTGCGACAAAGATCGACGATCAATTAATAATAATCAACAGTCTACATTCTACGGTATAAAAGAGATCCTTGACGGAACCAACGTGAACCTGGAACGCGTGTAAACGTGTGCAAGTGTCAATGTGTATTCAATAACAACGTAGCAACGGTAGATATACATATAATATGTACATGCAGACAGAGCGGATAGACTTACGTTTGATCCTTACATGCATACTACGTGTATTATATTGATGCTCGTACCACTTGATTACTCGTTACACGTTCGCCATTTCATATATATGTATATATTGTATAGCTGCAGCCCAAGATTATCGCCAGGTATTGCAACCGACATAATTTCAGCATCAATTGCCGATGCTACAGACACCGAGGAGCGCGTCTCGCGTCAACTTATGTGTATACTTAGAGATCATGTCGCGCGCGATCGCGCACGTACATATGTGTAAGTGTCCATAGCATCAAAACTTGACCTAGCAGTAAACCGTATCAATTTCAAATCCCGATTGTTCCTACATTTCTCAAGTTGATCGCTGTCGGCCGCGCTCTGCTTTCATTTTATTATCTTTGTTACACTTAATCGCCACCGATGGATATGAATTGGAATAGCCTCGATGGCCTTGTAATAATTCTGCAGTTATTTCTACAGCTTCGCCTTGTCTCTCGTATAAAAACCTTACGAAAATAATTGCTCTACCGTAAAATCCGACAATTCGCTTACGGCGTTACCATCTTACGGCTACAAGGATTCAAGGTAATCCCGCTGTTCCTGGGGAAAAACGCAAGAGCCGATCATCTCGGCCCTAAAATGTAACGAGTAGGTAATGCGATCGTCGCGTTACAACGCGCGCGAAAATCCACGATCTGATCGCAGTGGACAAAGTACGCTTTTTTTCTCCGTTTATCGTCGACAGATCAGGTGCAGCGAAACAGCGAGCTGGAACAAGCGCGTGATAAACGTCGCGGTTTCAAAAGGCTACGGGAATTGCCCTCGGACAATCCGGGCAAATCTGTGGATGTGCAAACGCAGTGCTGCGAACAATCAAGCTCGAGAAAACCCTGTCAATTAATCCAGCAAGAAGGAACAAACGTCGGTGACACAGCGATACATTCTACTTCGACCACCGCCTGGTAACTTCCGCTGATCTCCCGATGATATAAGACTGCAAGAAATTTCTTGAAAGAAAAAAAGACGTCCAAAGGACGTCGGAAAAAGGAGATCGTTCAGCCATTTTTATCTCGCAGACATTTGCATTGCGATAAGTTTCTCTTTCGTATCCTTGGCACGAGTCGCACAAGTATAGAAAATAATAACGTCGCTCTGACCACAAACAGATATACTTCCGATTAAAGTCTCGGTAGGAAAATATACGTATGTAATCCTATTATAGTTTTCATCATAATTTCAAGTATGAGACAAATTGCGCGTGCTGATAGTATTTACAAAGATCCAATTAACTCATTACTACCCAAATTAATTGTTCCTCTTATTCTATTCTACACCAGATAAATATATTCTAGAACGAAGAGTACAAAGAAACGTTACAAATGCACATTTTAGAATGGCGTAAGTTATCGTCTTACAGGGAAACCAACCGTGACTAATATTTCTTCCTGAAAAATATAATACTGGCCACTGATAACAATCGGCAAATTATTGTGTGCCCGTTCGTCTCAAAATCGCGTTGCCTAGTCTCGAATTTTGGCGCAACGAACCGGTGGTCAAACGTTCGCTAGTAAACTTGCGGCACGCGATACATACCAGAACCTCACGCGATTCGCTTCACCGGCGTCTCATTCCTCCCGAAGACCGCTCTGCGTGAACCAATGTGGACCGAAATCGAATCTTACACTATGCCTCTTCCGCCGTACTCGATGAAGCCGCCTTGTTAATTGGCGCGCACACACCTCCACTTGTTCCCCCTTAATTACGCAGGTATCCCGCCGACGAGGACCGTACGCGGCTTAATTGTTTGTCATGACGGAAGTGCCGTGTGTCTACTGTGAAGAGACAACGACTCAACCCGTTCCGCGCTCGCGCGACTCATCATCCCGGCATCATCGCCACTCACCGCTGTCGCGCTAATTACGTACTCGACACACAAGGGCGCATGCACCGGTCGCAATCGTAACAAACTCCGTCCTGCTTTACATTTAATTGGTAGACCTAACTATGCTCCTCGTTGAAACGTACCGTACAAATATCTCGAACATAGAAGAAGTTCTAAGGTTCATTGAAGCGTAAATCCCGTCTCCTGGATCACCTAGAAAGCTACTTCGTCGTGTCGTTAGGCGAACAATTGCACAACCGCGCGCTCGCAGCGGCGAACTCGTCTTAACAACTAGAGTATATGACGTGTACGCAGTGGCTAACATTGTGACAAAAAATCCAAGTAACAACGTCTTTCGTAAGGACAATGGCAGGGCGACGATCGCTCCGTGGTCCGCCGGAAAAGGCTTCTTCTTCGCCCGCGTTCATTTTTCCGACCTTGACGACTTCCGGCCCGAGTAACAATCGTGTCGATCATCCGCGCAAGATGATCCGTAATTCTCGGACTGGCTGGACTTGGGCCAGATTTCGACCGTGCGTGAGAGCGGCCGATCGAGATGCAGAGGCAACCGCGTCCTCCTTCAGTTTGTCCACCGTCGATCGAGTATATCAAATCTGCACAATAAAGCGAGGTCACCTCGGGGCAGCCTCGACTCGCGCGGCTACAATTACACGCCGGTGTGATTGAATATGTAGGAAACGTTGCTGTCCTGGTGGACCGGCGGTCCGTGCCAGGCACGTCTCGTCGACGAGTTGTTGTTGTTGTTGTTAACGTAGTAAGAGGACTTTCTCATGCTCGTCGAGGAGGACATCATCGCGACGGTCTCGTAGTACCTGAGCTTGCCGCAGCACCGGCCGCTCTTCAGGATGGCGATGAAGCCGCGCCGGTATTTCTTGTTGAAGAAAGCGTAGAGGATCGGGTTTATGCAGGAATTGCTGGCGCCCAGCCACTGGGCAATCGGCGTGGCGATCGGCAGGATCTCGTCCTCCCTCTCCGCCACAACACCCAACTTGATCACCGTAAAGATTACGTAAAGAGGCAGCCATGAGAGGACGAAGAGTATCACGACCACGACCAACATCTTGACCACCTTCACCTTTGACTTCTGCTGTATCCTCTCCATCTGGGCGTCCTTAGTATCGGTGGGTATGTGCCTCCGCCACACCTTGATCCAGATGAGAATGTAGCAGAGGGATATGAGTATCATCGGCAGCACGTAGCAAAGAATCAGATTGCCAATCAGGAAGAAGAGCGAGCCGTCCTCCGGATGCGGCCACGTCTCCATGCAGAAACGCACGTTGGGATCGTCGTCGTAGATGGAGACCAGGTCGAAGAACAGCAGCCAGGGTGACGTCATTGTCAGGGCGATGAACCAGATCACGACGATCATCATGCGAGCTCGCCGTTTCGTGATTTGGCATTTCAGCGGCCACCAGATCGCCAGAAACCTGAAAAATGTAAACCGTGGAAGTAGTTAATTACCATCCATCGCTTTATTCGCGAAAACTTTGTAAAGATAGAAATTGCGAATTGGCGAAATTGCAAATAGAGGGATCGTTAAGCATATTTTCGCAGCGTAAATAGATTATATTTACATTCGTGCGTTCGCACAAATTGATCAATCCGCTTAAAATTTCATCAAATTTAAAGTACATTTGCACACAGAGGAATTATTTCAAAAATATACATTTGTTTAAGATATTGCAAAATTTGCAGGATATACAAAACTGTTAAGTTATTATGAGGTATCTACCAATTAACTTTTAATATATCAACGGGATTTATTTGGTATACCAAAGGTTTGCTGTACGACATCTCGGCGCCATTTCATTTTGTTAAGGTAGACGAAAAGGATTTGTTAATCCTCGCGCTTTTACCTTCCACATGTTACAATTTAACGCGATAAAAAAACCCATCGATAGAAGTGTACGTAATAATCCTTAGACTCAAGTGATGACTCAAATAATGATCGGTTACGTCGAGCTCTTAAGCTTATTCTCAGGGTTGGGAAGTAACTCGTTACTTGTAACAAAGTAAGTTACAGTTACAGTTACTTTTTGTTTAGTAACTCTGACTTAACTTTGTTACTTTCTCTCTATCTGTAACTGTAACTTAACTCAGTTTTTTTTTCGATAACTAGTAACTATTGTAATTTAATAGTTACTTTATACACATTTTAAACCTCCACAGATCGCACTAAGCCTTGCCTTTGCGCATAAACGCCTTTATCAACACTGTACAATTCAAATGCAGATGTGATATTTTTATTTTTATTCCAAAAAAATTAATTGTAAAGTAACGTTCCGTTACTTTCTGAGTAACTGTAACTAGTTACATTTTTTAGCGAAAAAACTGTAACTGTAACTAGATACTTTTATAAAGTCACTTTCCCAATCCTGCTTATTCTACAATGGACGCAAACCGCAAGAAGCTAAGACGCAACGCAAGAAATCGGCCAATGACGGTCGATCATTCTTCTCATATTTGACCGTGATTGGTCGATTTCTTGCGTTGCGGCTTAGCGTCTTGCGTTTTGCGTTCATTGTAGAATTCGCTTTACCGCGAAAAAGCGGAGTTTAGCGCGGGAAGATGTACGATAAGAGGCAAGGTCTTACTTATTAGCGATTTGCTTGTCATAAACTTGTGCCCCGCTACACGCAGGGAGCACTTGCGTTGGATAGCCGGTCTGATTTATTGTACCACGTGCCACGAAGAATGCAGAACAGCCATTTTACAGGACAGGTTCGGCCGGGCGCCTACGCGGTCCCGTCGCGTACGGTCGTCGCCATTTTTAGGTCCTACGTGTGGCATTGCCAGCAGATATTCCGCTCGCTGTTTCGAAAGACACAATCGCACCCGTCACGCTCCGACGGCCGCGCTCCGCGAGCTGAGCATGAGAATATAATAGATACGAGGAACACCTTTTTGCGCGACGCAAGAATTCTCGTTTGTTGCCCGGATTATTTAGGGCGCGTGTCGGATTATTTCGAGAAAAATCCCGCCGGGGCGTGTTCCCGTTTGGTATCAACCGGGCTGGCGACCTTCGAGTGAATGAACGAACCATTTATTAACTGAGGCAAGTTTTCTAAGGACCAAGGTTGATAAGATCAGAGGCAATTGTAACTTCCGTCATAGAAATGTCCTTCCATGCGGTTTATACGCGCGAGGCTGATACGAAGCTTGCATAAGTAAAGACATACAACGTAACGTGAGAGTGCAAAAATAAGTATAACATTAAGTGCCCATCCAGAGTCGATTATAGAAATTATTTTCAAAGCCAATAAGAGCGAAATATGCGAAAAGGGTGAAGCAAAAGTTCCGCGTGAAATATGCTGAGGAGGGAAAAGTCAGATATTGACATAATATACGGGAGGGCGAAGCAATTATTCCGCAGCCATACAAATCGCGTTCGCCCGTATCTAACGATAAGAATGCGGGGTGGAGAGATTTCGTATAAATCGCTGTCGAGGCGGACCATCGATCATGACGACGACTACGTCGCGGCGTTGCGGGATGAGAGCAATCGGCGATTCCTTCGTTTCGGAGTCTTGTATTAACGGCGACGAAGCGCGCGTTCGGATTCGAGGGAGATCCGCGCGGATAAGGCGCGGGCGCGTCCTTTGTGATGCAAAGAGACCGTAAAAGCTGAATATATTCGTCGAGACGCGCGAAAGGGAAGGATGGTACTTCTTTTTTTCCTCATTAATTAAACGGTCCCGCCCCGCGGGGGAAACGTCGAATGCTATCTTTAATGAACGTTTCTCTCTCCCGCGTAGCTTCCGGATTCATTAGGTCGCCATTTTGCCGTTCGCGCCGCCGACGCAGCTGCCGGCAGCTGCGGACTTTCCGCCTCCGCGATTACGCCGCGATTATAATACGAGCGCCGCCCTTCTCTCCGGCGTTATCGGCGTCATCGTCGTCATCGCCTGCGTCTTCGCTCGTCGCGACCTTCGATTTGATGAATAAACTTTAAACACTTGTCGCGACCTCCCATAAATCAATGCGAGGCTGATACCGATCTGCGAGCGTTCTCACGGCGCGTCACTTCCGAGCGGCACGCGGCGCTTCATGCGATACGTATCGTACGTACACGCGAACGAATCTCCCCTGAGCCTTCGTGTCGACTGTCGGAGCGGCGGAGAAGAATTTGATAAAAAAATAACCGCAAACGCGGAAATCTCTCGTCCGAGGCCGCTCATGGTCACGCGGTGGGGGCGAGCAGAATCAAACGCTCGCGATGATGATCCCGGAGACATGGGTATCTATATAAAGGGACTGTTTGCCCGTAGTTGCAATCGCAGTACCAGTCAGTGCTGTCCTGTGTGCTCGCTAACGGGAATAAAGCTGATAAAACGCTTAACATGTTCAAGCTGGCAAGTATATTCGTTCGTGCGTGTTCGTCCGCGTCCGTCTGCACTGTGCTCGATGGTCACTTCCGGTCGCGTGGATGCTTCCCTCCGCGACTTAATTCTCGGCACGGAAAAAAATCGGTTTATTGTTGTCAAAATTGTCGACGTAACAGTCCGCGATATCCCGAGGCGAAATTTTGGCCCTGTGTAGAACCTTTAATTCTATTATATAGTAGAACCTAAGACAGTAAAAGAGATCGAACTGCAAGTACAAAATTTACTCCTACTTTAGAACCGATAGTGTCGAAAATTTCTACTTTTGCCAATTTAGCATTAAAGTAGGTCCTTTTAAGCAGGAGCTAAAGTAAATTTTTAGAATTAAAGATTCAAGGGAGGAGTAAAAAATATAATGTCATCAAAGTAGGTTATTGCTGGTTCATGTAGGTGTATAGGTCAGCTAAGTAGGTGTAAATTATCCTTAAAAGTGTCAAAATAGTACCAAAATTTCGACTCGGGATATGTTTAACGTAAAGTTTCGCTCGTCGTCGTGTAAAATTCGGAATGAAATGCCGGGTGCCGAGCATAGATTCCGCGCTAGAACGCTGCGACTACAAAATTCTATGGAGTACCGCTCGATTTCGCTAATAAACGCGCCGGCGGAGTGCTCGCGCCTCATAAATTCGTTCGAGTTCGCCCAAATCGAGAGCGCTCCGACACTCCGATCCGCGTGCGTGAAAGCGTCCGCGATCGATCGGGGACCCGCGTAATCCTTCTCGAGACGGAACACCCGGAGGGACGAAGGAGAGTGTTATCGCGAAATTACAGCGCCGCCGGAGTCGAAGTGTCGCGGAAGCGTTTTCCGCGCGCGCGAAACTTCCGCGTCCACGTTGAGCGGATAATTGAATTACCGTAGAGGAGGAGGAGGAGGAGAAGCGTAGCGCGCTATCTTCGGGATCGAGAGACAAGGGGGAGGGTAAAAAAAAGACATCGACGCTCGTTCTTGGCACGTGCAATCGTCTCGGTGATTAATTGGAGCGAGGTGACGTCGAGCTCGCGCGCGGTAGCAAAAAGCCGATCGGACGTCGCCGAAGTCACCGGCGACGCTAAATGCTCGCTCGCTCGAGCACACTCTCGACATTTTTCATAGCGCCCGTAAAAACCCGGGGACCAGGGGAACGGGAGGAGTTCGATGGGGCGGGTTGGACGGGACGTACGATTTAAGCGACGTGTCCCGCTTTCAAAGCGTAATCAGCCCTTATTGCTTCGCAGATCCTGATGGCCATCGCGGTGGTAGCGGCCACATGCGCACCGATGCCGGAACCGGCGCCGACACCAGCACCAGGTCCCCTGGCGCCGCCATTGCTCGCCCCTTACCCGCTGGTTTACCCGGCGCCTTATTTAAAGGTGTACCCGTACCACCCGTACCCTCTGGCGTACTATAACAGCTACAAGTGGATCCACCCGGGCTCGCCGTACGCTTACTAACATTGATTCGGGCTATCCGGGGAATCGCCAGCACCGTCGTGGTACCCGCGTCCAACGCGATTCGCCGCAACGCGCCAAATGATTCTGTATCGTGGACCGTCTGCGAAATAAAATATTCTCTTGTCGCAAACGCCGCAGTGTGCTCGACTATGACGATCGCTCCCCTCCTCCCCCCCCCGCCCCGCCCCCTCGCCGTCCTCTGCCGACGTCTCCGAGACGTCCCCCCCGTTAATTCCGCTCCGCGAGAGAGGATCCTCTCGTCCGAGCTTTTGGCAGACTCCGCGCTATCGAGCGGCCCATCAATTCCGTCCGTTTGTTCGCCGGTGAAATTTATGAAACAACACGCATTATACCGCATAATCGCACCGTTCGCGGACAAGTAATACCGTTTTAGCCCATTATCCGCCGGCGATACATTTTCAGGATAGTACGTTAAATTTTGGTCTCGCATTCTCTGCGGTACGCGCTATGTCGTAATACACAATTCCGCACGAATAATGTGAAGCAAATACGAAACAGATGTGGACAGGAGCGTGAAGCAGCAAGATTAAATGCCCATAACACGGGAGAAACATTTCTCTTCTCGCGAGATTTACTCTGCATCACTTTTAATCTTAACGAGCCTCGGCTCTACAACTTTATCGTTGCATAACCTGAAGATATGTGAATATAAAGACGTACTTATATGGCGTAGCAAAAATATGAGGAAAAAGAGGAAAGTATGAAAATTGAAAACTTATAACATTGCGCATTTATAAATAATGCTGTCTGGTGCCGCGTGAAATATTAAAAGTCGTTTAAAAAATGGAATAACGATTTGTTTACAAAAATCGGTTAAAATAGATGACTGCGACATATCGAATGACTAGCATACAATTATTAAAATATGATTTTATTATTAGATAATTAATCCAATAATCTAAAAAGGCATTGGTTACTTTGTTGAATAGTTAATGTACGATAATTAGAAACTTTGGATCTTACAACATTTTTTGACACGATGCCTAACACCCTACAACAAATTTATGTAAGAGGAAATGCCAGGGTTGGGAAAGTTACTTTATAAAAGTATCTAGTTACAGTCACAGTTTTTTCGCTAAAAATGTAACTAGTTACAGTTACAAGTTATTCTGAAAAGTAGCGCGTTACAGTTACAATTACTCAAGAAATAACAAATTGTTACTTTGCAGTTACTTTCTTGCAACGAAAATAAAGATATCAAATGTGCATTTGAATTGTAAAGCGTCGATAAAGGCGTTTATGCGCAAATGCAAAGCCCGATGCGATCTGTGGAGGTTTAAAATATATACGGGGTGAATCATTAAGGCTGTCTTTTTCCAACTCTGGAAAAAATGAAAAAATCTCGTTATATATGTCATGCAATATCTAATTATATCTCTCAAGATACAACTAGATTTTACACGATTGAAACATATATAAAGATATTATTTTGCATTTTTTCCCAGATTGGCTACAGTTTCGGTCGGTAATCCATCCCTCACGGTAAAAGGTTGGGACAGCCTTAATGATTCATCCTGTATAAAGTAACTATTAATGTAACCATTAAATCACTTTAAAAAATAACCTTTTTTAAAAAGAGGTAAAAAAAGACGCCAAGTATAAGCGCCACCCAGTCAAGTATAATATAATTTAATTATTTGGGTATATTTTGTTAGAAAAAAATACAGTTTTAATGTCTCTACAAAAGTAATGATATATCATCAAATTGCGCCAACTAAAATAGATATTTATACAAACTAGATACTTAATTATTTTTCATATTACAATGTTATGTCCAAACAATCGAGCATAAGATTTTACCGAAAGAAATAAAGGAGACAATAATATTAATGAGACAAATTTTTAATAGCTATTTGATAAAAATATAATGCAAACAACTTTAATACAAATAAAAAATATAACCATTAAATTAGTTACCAGTTACCGAAAAAATGTAACTGAGTCAGTTGCAGTTACAGATAAAGAGAAAGTAACGAAGTTAACGTTAACGAAGTTAAGTTAGAGTTACCAAAAAAGTAACTGTAACTTCGTTACAAGTAACGAGTTACTTCTCAACCCTGGAAAATACCATCTCCAGCTGGACTTTTGTAGTCTAATATTTGGCATGAATTTATATTGTTTGTAATTTTAAATTCATTTTTCAAATATGTATTTAAATTTAAGCGAGAAATGCGTGCCACATTTCTAAACTTCCTAATAAGTTACCACTCGTAATGGATTATGAAACTTTGGTACTCGTATGAGTCTGCAAGAAGACGTGAAAATTTATCTTAACTACCACGTAAGATACGTGTAAGGAACATAACAGCATACTAATGCTCGTTAATATACATGTATGTATAACGCACGCTGTTCGGATAAAGGATATTACGGCGACGTAACCATTTCACACACAGAACTACTCTATTATTACTATTCCTTTAATTTCATTTTGGAGAAGAGAAACTCACGTGATTAACTATACATACTTTACGCACAATTGCTGGTCTCTTTGCACTGTTCTTGTAGAAAATGCTACACCTTATATTATCACAAAAAGTGCAATCTTCGATATGTTTGTTTAAATGGAGAAGGTTCCATATTAAAGGTAATAAGTATTAGAGATTTCATGTGTGAACAGTTAGAAAATCTTTCCCCTTCCTGGATAAACAGAAACGATTTTTTTCAAGTGTGCGAAAATCGGTCAAAAGAAGAGCGCGTCGCGACTCGGACAGGCGGAAAACTTGCCTCGAACGGAACGCATTGATACGTCACGTACAATCGTCGGGACGTTATTAATTTTTCTGGACGAAAAGCCGGAACGAAACGAAAAGCTTTGCGCTACTTCTGCAGTCTGTTAATTTCCAACAGATCAACAGTGTCGACTTTGTGCGAGGCGTTAAACGACACTTTGCATTCTTCTACGCCTATCAAGGGGGTAACCACTTGATGTAATTATGGGACAGTGTCTCCGAAATCATTATGAAATCCTTACGAAATTCCCCGTGTAATCGTGTTGTCTTAATTTTCACGTTTCTTCACTTGTTAGACAATCAACGTTAAACTTGAACATTTTCTCAGCTTGTTTTCATTTTCCAAAAAAATTACTTTTAGTTATATCTTAATATCCAAATATATATATATAATAGTTCACACCTATAAGCGCGTATTTCATAATAAGACTGAAGTAGTTATGCTGTTACAACAACAGCGAGTTGAAACGTTGATACGCCTTTGCGCGCAAATTTGGAACAATAAATACAAATACACAATTACTTTTCGTTAAGACCACGGTTAGACTAGTGGGGAAAAGTGGGAAGCAAGGAAACACGTGACCGAATACTCCAATCTCAACTGAAATTACCTCTACAAGCAAATACTTACAATTAGTAAAACAAGAAAGATATATTTTGAGGAAATCTCACAGCTCCTTGAGGTTTAACAACGTTACACGGTTTTAAACGTGCATGTAAGAAAATGATTTGCAATTAGATGAGATCGTTTGTAATCAGATAAAATCGTGTAGTCGATGGGACAACATTTTAGCTAGTGGTTGGCCCCCTTGGCGCCTGATACGTTCAAGGCGCAACCGTTAGGATAAGCCGAGTGGGCGAGCGAATCGTCAAAAAAAATCAAACTTTCGAAAGAACAGCGGATGAAGGAAGAACGATCATTTCGGGAATGACTCGCAGGGACGCTCGTAAAGCAGAACTCGCACTTTGTACCAGCGGCGATGTATAAACTGTACGCGTACGTTTGCGTGCGGGCAAGAGAAGTGCAGTTACGCCGAGGAGACTCGATATATCTTTAATATCTATCTATATTGGAAGAGAAAAAAAATACATTTGCGCGCGTTCCGGTTTATTGCGCCCTTAGTTACGTGCGTGCGTTCAATAAAATTGCTACTGGCACAGAAATATCGTGGATAAGGCCGAATAACGTCGGCAGTCGCGGAATGGCGACCGGAAGGCGTAAAAATCTTTTCGCAGGGCCGACAAGGATATTATCTTTACGGCAGCGTTATTTTCCTTCCTTTATAGCGAGCTACCTCGGGGATTTGGAGCTGCGCGAGCAACAATAAGACACTCGTTGGATTTGTAATTAAAAATTTATTAAAATTCCACATGAACAAGGGTGGGGTTCGGGATGATGGCGGGATGATCCAAGTGAGAATCCGGAAATTTTGCCGATGAAGTACAGAAGAAAGGACAGCGGTGGTGATGGGGGTTGACCGATCCCGCGCGGAACGTTGGGGGGTCCTGGTTGATCCGCGCGCACGTCCATTTTGGATCTCGCTCTCCCCCGTGGCGGGCCCGATGATTTCACGCGTGGAGAACGGCGGTAGAGTGAAGTGTCGAAATCGGCGATGGGGGCTGCGTGCAAAATTTGTCGTCTTTCTTCGAGTTACGGTCTTCCCATCGTATTACGAGGTCGATTTACGTAGGGGATGTGTGTGTGTATGTGTTTCTTTTTCTTCCAGGGCTGCGTCGTCGTGGACTCGGCGGCGATGAGTTTGCGCTGGCTCTCCTAATCTAACCGTGCAGGCCGACGAGACCGTGGCCGACACCGAGACCGAGACCATGGCCGAGACCGAGACCGAGACCATGGCCGGTCAGGACGGTCTTGGTGACGATAGGGGGAGAGTGGACAACGGGAGCGATGGGCTGATGAACCACATGGGCGCCTAGGGACAGCGCCGGGGCATGAGAAATAACCGCCGGGGCGGCGATCGGGCCGAGGCTGTGGCCGCTGTAGGTAAGACCGGTGAGGCCCCCGGGAGCGGCGCAGGCGACAGCCAGGATGGCAGCGAGGACAGCCTATGAAGAAGACAGCAAGGTAGATTCAGGGAGGTTCCTGCTTAACAGTCTTTCAGTCCGAAAGTTGTCCCACGAGCCCGCGCCTCCCGTCGGCGTCCCGGTTCATATTGTCCCGTCGAAAGTTCACCGCGAGGAAATAGCCAAACGGGGATAATGTATAATTAAGATTACACGGCGGTCGCTACGAATTCACGCCATCTCGATATACTCGCGAGCGTGCTATTTTTAAAGTCGTTCCTATCGGCCCGGTCGCCGGCAGGCGACACCGAGGCAGGTCGGACGGATCGCGCTCAGTCAGCGATGGATCGATTAAAAACGGATCGCGCGTGCGATCCGCTCGCGATCGAACGTGGTTTCGCAAGAAATCGCGAGAGAACACGAGGTCGAACGGTGGAGCTGCGTTAAAGGAAAAAAATGCCACGCGCGAGCTGCATTCCGCTTTGGCGAAGGCGGCGGTGGCGGTACCACCGGCGCTGACTAACAATGTGCATGCTTCAATGATTTCGTTCGCGTAGATTTCCGCTGGAAAGAGAGGTCGGGTGCCATTGCGCCGCGTCGAGACCGGTGAGCGGCGTAAGGGCGGCTTCGTCGTCGTGTCGTGGTAGGCTCGCGCTCGCATGCCAAAGCGGAAAGGTCACAGCAAACGCGAAAGCCGGGCTGGGGGGAGGAGAGGGTCCTTTTTTTTCCCTCGCGTTTACATATGTGCACACCGTGGGATAGCCGGCCCCGTCTCTCTATCGATCACGGGAGGCGCGAGAGCCGACGACGAGAGGAGTCCCCGCGGCGGGACGGTGGTACCGGAGGCGCACTGTTTACTCGGCACGTACAGACGCGTCGTTTTCCGAGCCGGCGAAAAGGAAATCTCGGACTCGGAGCGTAACATCTTTCGGTGGATCCCCTCGCACGGCGGTCGTAACGGTCCCCTTTTTACGGATCGACGGACGACAGTCGAGAATTGTGTTTGCGATCGAACCCGAGGGCGAACCCGGTAATCGCGACGACGCCTCCGTAAAATCAGTCGGCGGAAATACTGCCGCGCCCTGTTTGCGGAAAATTTACGTTTCGGAAAAATCGACCGGTCCTCCCATTGTGCCCGTGGCGCGTATTCTCTTCGCGGCGTTTGCAGTCTGATCGATCAGTCAGTCAATACGTCAAGCTGAGCGGAAACGCGACGGTCGACAAACAAAGCGGAAACGATCGTCAACCCGTTCCGCTCGAGCGCTCGTCTTGTAATTGTAATCGAGAAGAAGAGAAAATAGAGTCTTGCAAAGAACAGAGGCAGATTTATATAGAAGGATTATAATTAGATGAATCGTTTTAGCTTACCAGCTTGAACATGTTGATCGGTTGCGGATTGCTTGTTACTTCTCGGAAGTAAGTGAGCTTGTGTCCCTTTCGGCGACTCGGGAGACTTATATACCGCGTGGGATTTTTAAAAACGTTATAAATTTCATCACGTGACCCCGCGGTATCGATATGACGATATGTGCCGGTCAGTTAGATCAGCCGATCGCTGACTGGGTTGCGCTGGTGGGGTGGCCGCGTGGACCAATCGTCTCCGCGATACCGGCCTGATCGTCCCACCGATTCGCCAATAATGCGCTTACAACCCCTCGCGTCGATCGCGAGAATTGGGTTAAAGACACTCAGCGCTGCGCGGTACCGGCGCGCAGGCCAGAACCGACACCCGACACGACGACGACACGCGCGCGACGGCGCGAGTGTGCGAATGTGTGGGGTAAGTGCCGGGACGCTTACGTTACACGGGAGAAAAATTGCGACTGGTGTCCGCCACCGGATGCAAATTCGTTTCGTAAAGACGCAGCCAAGGTCTAGACCCCGCGACCTTCCCTCGTACTTTTTCAAACGTCATACGGAGTACGTCTGCGAGTGCATTTACGAGTGAAGTCCCGAAATGGAGCTTAGCAGCGAGCTCCGCGTTTCCCGTGGCCGGGCACGTTTGCGAGGGGCGAGGAGCGTATCTTATTCGTAAAAGCTTCGCGGGTCAAAAACATATCGGAGCCACCATGTAATTTCACGACGTTCTAATTGGAGAACTGTAGTCAGACGTCAGCCGAGTGTCACACTTTGAAATTTCTCTTCCTCGCGGAAACGGGACAATCGTGCGTCAAGACTGGGACGTTAACAGGATGGCCGTGTGCCAATGCTTTGTTAAGTAATTATGAAATTTTTTTATCTTGTCGGGAAATTACACACGCTTCGGCGGTCACAGGGCACTTTTCATCGGAATAAATAAAATTCATATGCACATGCACAATGTTTGCAGATTCGAAACTTGAAATGTTTCGTTTTGGTATCTCGGGATATCAATTTCTAGGGCACTTGGCTAATATTTGACTAGAATCGATCAACGCCCGGCATTGATACGAGCGTGTATACTTCGTATCGATTGTCGCGAATAAGTATTGAGATTATTCCGGCGGCGGGATTTCGTTCCTTCGAAACGGCGGCGCGGGCCTTGGTCGGATTTTGCGTCCGCTCGTCATTCTTTTCGAATTGAGCTATTTGTTCCCAGCGCGCTTGAAACATACGGTTGGAAGCGCGACGCGACGATCGGGGCAATCGCGGAGATTAGAATAGTTCCCGTCATTCGCGCAGCGAGAGTCTGAAATTAGGGGAAGAGCAATTTAATCAGCAGCGACGACACATAGACACACGCGCGCGCACATACGTAGCGGATCCAAGTCGCGGTGAGTCTCCGGAGATTTCGCGTCCGGAGCGCGAAATCAAACTTTTATCAATGGGAGCTATTGCGCAAATTAACACCGGGTTGGGTAACGCGGCGCGATATTACGACTCGGATTACGATCGTCGTGAGACGCGCGACGGCACGGCAAGTGCGATCAAATATCGCGGGTCAAGTCGGGGAACCGGCGGCGGTCGTCTGGCGTGTCTCCTCGAGTGGGTGTGCGTGTGGGCGCGGTGTGCGACACGGCACACAAAGACCCCGGGCGGCACGTTAATTTATCAAACATCGGCCGTTAACGTCCTAGGTAAATCACGAGCTGCGGTGGAATTTCGTCCGCCGAAATTTCGCGTCAACTCGGATCGCAGGTAGAGCTGGAGATCGAGTTAGGGCCTGAGCACAGAGAGATTGTCGTAACCGTTTACGATCGTTCTGTCGTAAGACTTGAGTCGGAAGTCCGCGCGCAAAGAATTGTCGTAAACGTATATCGCCTTGCGATGCGATGAATGCAACATACGCAAGGCGATATACGTTTACGACAATTCTTCGTGCGTTGACTTCCGACATCGACTTGCGTCTTACAATTAGGCCGGTTCTACACTGATCGCATCGTAGCGTCGCAAGCGTCGCAAACGATAGATTCGACCAATCAGCGTTAAATTAGAACCAGTCTACGACCCTTGCGACACTACGATACGACCAATGTAAAGTCCGCCTTACTGCGGAATCGTAAACGGTTACGACAATCTTTCTGCTCAGGCCCTAACTCGATCTCCAGCTCTACCTGCGATCCGTATCGACGCGAGATCGCGGAGGACACTCGCGACAATCTCTCTGCTCTGGCTCTTAATCATCCTCAGCGGGAGGACCTCGCGCGTATGCAAGTATGCGCTTTACACGCGGTAATATCTCTCGCGGTGCAGGCGCACGTTCCTACGAGAGGTCGCGACGGAAATAAGATCCCGCGAAATGTTGAGCGCTCTCAGCGGCCCCGCTTTTATTCGACTTATTGAAAGTTCCAATACAATAAGGGGCCAGTGGAAATAACGCTGCTCGCAAATGGAATGCTGCCTCTCATCCGCGAAATTTATTTCGCCGAATAAATTTCGCGCTCGTGTAATTCAGGATTTTCGCGTTCGCCGTGCGCAGAGAGCTGCAGCAATGACACTGCAAGTTTGATGCGAGGTCCAGTCGACGCGCGACTGTCCCCTCGGATTTCCGTCGCGTACAGATTCACCGGGTTTCCCTTGCTGCTACTGCTGCCGCCGCTTCTCGTGTCGCAAGGCGTGCGGGACAGGAGGAAGATATATTTTCAGCGTTCTTGGCGCTGCACCGTCGATCGCGTGACAAGAGACGCGGAGAAGATACATTCGCGCACGCGGTAGGCGAAGAAACAATTCCCCAAGTTTGGCACGGTCTCCCCCCTCTCTCTCTCTCTCTCTCTCTCTCAATATTTTGTTGCAACACTGTTGTACTTATACACCCCTGTCTTACTCTCTAAAAATCGATCAATGGATTATCACTAGAAACAGTGAATAGTCACTGATTGATTTTTAGAGAGGAAGATGTCATTAGTAGGTACTTTCACATCCTAGGAGGGTGTTGTAATTAGTCAATTGTAATCTGCAACTTCTTCCTGTATATTATCTTCGTTCTTATATTCCATACACTTTTCCAGAGTTGAGAAAGTTACTTTACAAAAGTATCTAGTTAGTTTTTTTTTTCGCTAAAAATATAACTGGCTACAGTTACAAGTTACCAATTCTGAAAAGTAACGCGTTACAGTTACAGCTACTCGAACAGTAACGAATCGTTACTTTGCAGTTATTACCTTGCAATGCAAATAAAGATATCAAATGTGCATTTGAATTGTAAAGCGTCGATAAAGGCGTTTATGCGCAAATGCAAGGCCTAATGCGATCGGCGAAGGTTTAAAAAATATATAAAGTAACTATTAATGTAACTGTATATTAAATTAGTTACTGGTTATCGAAAAAATGTAACTGAGTTAAGCTACAGTTACAGATGAAAGGAAAGTAACGAAGTTAAGTTAGAGTTACTAAGGCACGGTTTTACCAAACGTAACTTTAATCTTGGTTTAATTCGTGTTTCTCTCTTTCTAAAGTAACAGTTGGAAAAAGACGAAGAACGAATTAAACTAAGCTCAAAGTTAAGCGACGTTGGTGAAACCAGGCCTAATGCGTGGTCTACAA